TGTGGCTTAGAAGTTAAGCACCCTTGGGTTCAATCCTCTGTAAATAATAATAATAATAATAATAAAAAACTAACAAAATTCCTTAAATAAAATGGCATAGTCTTTGCATATAATCAACACATACCAACCATTCTATTTTAAATCATATCTAGATTACTTATAATACCTAATACAAGATAGATGCTGTGTAAATAAGCCATTCTGTATCGTTTGGGGAACAATGACATGAAAAAAGTCTATATCTGTTTAGTATAGATACAGCTGTCACAGGACTAACTACCTAATATATGAAAGAGATGAGAGGCAAACAATGATCAATGATTGCCCAGGGAGAATCTGTAACATGGAGAGAAGCCATAAGGGTATGCCAAACTTTACTTCATTTACACAAATTCAGAGTAGTGCTTGCTATGTTTTTTGGAACTTTGTGGAATTTTTATTTTTAATCCATGGTTGGTAGATGTGGGTTCAAAGTAGATAAGGAGATATGGATCAACTATATAGTATAACATCATAGCAAGCTTCCTTGGAAAGTCAGTTTGAGTGTTCAGAATACTCCCTCAAGTCACCCCATTCCTGGAGGGTGTGGCCATAGAGAAGAAAAGCCCAAGTGATGTCCCCCATTTCCCTGCCAGCTGAAGTGAGTAAAGGAAGACCAGTAGTTTTCCCAAACAACTTCTGCTGTTCAGTGTCAACCATACCAGAAGTATGAAACATCAATATAAATTACAGCAATGACTTTCAAACACTTTTTTTTTTTTTGTATGTGTGTGTGTTGCTGGGAATCAAATGAAGGGCTTTATGCTCTACCTTTGAGTATTTCTCCAGCCCTAACTTTCAAACATTTTGACCACAACCTATAGCAGGAGAGACAGAAATATCTTCTAAATCAGTGTTGGAAAACTGAAGAAATAAAAATTTTGCAAAACATGAGCCCATATACTATGTGCAGTATACCAATATATTCCATTGTTTTTGTTGTTATTTTGATGTGGTTGGTGACCCATTATATCCATTTCAAAATCCTCTAATGGCTTGCTGAGTTTGAGAGAAACATCTGAGTCTGTAGAATTCCTAAAAACAACATTTCCCAAAGAATTTCTTTAGTATGTGTGTGTAGTACTGGGGATTGAATCCAGGGCACTCAACCCTGAGTCACATCCCCAGCCCTTTTTATTTTTCATTTTGGGACAGGATCTTGCTTAGTTGCCCAGGCCAGCCTTTAATTTATAATCCTGCCTCAGCCTCCCAAAACCTGGGATTACAGTCATGCACTACCACACCTGGCTCCCAAAGAATTTCTTATATTTCAGATACACAAGTAATATATATGTCTACTACCACTGGTAAACAAGATGGCTCTAGAAGAAACCTGTATATCTATATCTATCTCTAATGAAAGAGAATATTTTTGCTAGTCATCATTTATTATTTTTACAGTCATCTTCAATTTTAGGATTTATATTCATTTTCCATTATGAAAATGCCTTAAAGATTTTTACACATATATTTAAATTTAAAAAGTGACTTAAAGAAAATTTCCAAATATGTCAAAAATCACAAATGTTTCTCATGTGTGTAAGTGTGGGAAACTGTCTTATACCATTTCAAAATGAAATAACAAGGAACTGCCTTTCCTTAACATCAGGTCTGCTTTTGCAGAGTTTTAATAATTATTCTCAGGAAGTATGGGTTACATGTCACTACATTAAATTACATTTGGCATTTCCCCTGCTGCCCTGAAACCAAGCCAGTGCTTTTTCTAAGCATTTGTCCTGCAATCTTGAGTTCAGCATCTGTTAGCAGTTTTCTGTGTGGACCTTGAGCCACTGTGAGCTCACCTTCCCTTCTTGAAACCCTCATGTAGTCTTTCATTCTCTGTCAGGCTTTCAAGTTAATTATTTCCTGTGTTCTCTGAGTCTGTTCCTTATCCCCCTTCAGACCACCCTCTACTTTCTTTCACCTCTGCACACACTCTTGGGCTACCCCGCCCCCACCCTGCAGGTCCACAGCAAATGAGTCTTTGTCTCTTGGCCTGCATCTTCCAACCTTGGAGTTAATTTCTGTGGTGTAGCAATTTCAGAGCAAAAATTTGCCACATTTGTAGAATCAGAAGTTACTTTCCAAGTTCCCAACTTTTTAGAAACATTCTTTGTAACTTACTGATGTTTTGTTCTCTCAGTTCCTGTATGCTAAGGTACTACTATGTGAGCCAGTCCACCCAAGATATTTTCCCTCTGTGATTGCCAGGGATCTCCAGTATCAGTTATGCTGTCCCTCCTCTCAGGACTCCCACCTTGAGCTTTACTCTTCTCAGCAAACTTGATCTGTTGTTCATGTAACTTTGTTTCAATGGTTGTCCCATCCCTTCCCATCAAGGCCAGAGCCTCTGTCCTCTATCTTTCACAACTTAAGGGCGCTAAACTGAGCTGAGCTATATCCTATAAAAGCTTCATGTACAGAAGCCACTTTGGTCCTGTGGTATTTGCTTCCTTATCCCCATGCTCAGAAACCTACCCAAACTAGCCATTTCTGGTTTTCCAGTCTTAATCTATTATTTTTCCAATCCTGGTTGAGGTTTGTTTTAGGTCTATAACTCAGTCTTGCTTCCATTATTCATCATCCTTTCCCCCCCCAACTTCAGATTTTCTCTCCTCTCATCTCCACGTGAACGCATGAGTTCTTTCACATTCCTTACTTAGCGTACAGTTTCCAGGCCATCTATTTCCAGTCTACCACAAATTAAAGCATAGAAAGTCCTTACAGGACTGGGATGAGACTCAATGGTAAAGCACTTGCCTAGCATGCAGAGGCCCCGGTTTCAAGGCCTCATGCTGGAAAATAAAAAGCTCTAATAATTAGTTCATGTGTGTGTGTGAGTGTGGTGTATATGTACACATTTAAAGTGGAAAAAGGAATATAAGTAGAAAATAGAGGTCCAAACTTGTTGGGGTTAGCAGGGAGAAGAGCATTAGAAACTCCCAGCTGTTCTTGTTAATATGTTGAAAGTATCTCACACTGCAAACCATATCTGCCTCATTTTCCGACACAGCTTAAACAAAGAAGAGCCTTGATGTTTATTGAGGATTTAGATAACTACTTCCCTGTTAAGAAGAGATTCTTAAAATTGTGTTTTCATTATGACTCCATCTCCATTTATTGATCAAGGGATTTCTTGCCTCACTTAACTCTATAATCTGTTGCTCAGATTAAGAAAATGTGAAAACTATTGTTTGGTAGCATGAGTACAGATTTTAAAGTGATACTTGGAGTCTGGATGATTCAAATAATACAATGCAAGAAAAGCAACAAATTGAACATGCAGAACATGTTTTTATGTTTTATTCTTTTCATGGACTGAACATCCAGTGAAATGATTCGGATTAAATGTTTTGTAGATGTGCTCTGTTATAAAAGAAGGGACTTCCTAGTGCAGACACATCCAACAGAAAGCACTAAATCAAGAGATAGGAAACCATATATGTAAAAAGCCCTTAATAAACAATTGTATAAGCCATTGTTCATTTCAACACATTTTCAGCACCTATTATGTTCCTTTTTTAATGTAAGAACAATGCTTATATCAAAACAGGATAATAAGTTCTCAGGTATTTGGAGCAGAAAAGTGCCTTTATTTTGGTTTTTCCTTTCTTACAACTACCACTACCTCATATAGAGCTCTGCACATAAATTTTTTGGATGAAAGACCTGTATGTTCACTGTTTATCTTCTACCCTCTACTTTGCAGCCTGTTGGCCACTTGATTCCTCCTTAATTCTTTCTCCTGAGAATTACTAGGGAAGAGAAAGGTGAACCTCAGGTCAGTCAGGCATGCTTAGCCATAGAAGCAGTTCAATCTCAGTACAATAAACTTGAAAGACCTGTTCAAATTCTTTTGTTATTTCCGTTCTATCCAATTGGTTGAACAGCCCTGTTGATTAAAGCATGGCCATCCTCAAGGATGATATTTTGGTTCTTAATAGTAACCGAAACATAATTGCCCTGTCTCTAGATTTTATGGGAAATTAAATTCACTGCAAGAATCTAACTGGAGGTCAAAGAAAAGAGAACCATAACTTACTCAATTTTGATTACATGAAAGAATCTGAACTGAGCACTTTACATTGCTTATTTCTTATCATTTATAGCTGCGCAGAAAAAAATATACCCACTGTATAGATGTTGAAACTGAGGCTTAGGTATTCTGATCAGTCTCTCAATTTGTAAGAGAAACCCTAGCTAACAGCCTCCAAAGCACAAGCCCATCACAAAGTAGGATTTGGAGACTGCTGGCAGTTTTTACTATTCTATGCTGTCCATAACTACTAGGGGTAATTTGAAAGCCGACCCCATGTTCCTTTCAAAAATCTTTTAAGAAGTTTGCTGCAGGAACTTCATGGATAATTCGAGAAACAAAATTTTTTGTGTGTGGAATAGAAACTGTATTTCAATTTTTTTTTCTTTGCTTAACAAGAACCCTCATAGAACAGACATGTCTTCAGATTGGCCTATGCGGACTACCGAGGAAATCGTGACAACATTATGACATTTTGGCCTAAGATGTTTAAGTGACAATGTAATAAGCAACTCAGGATTTGTGAGGCACAATGTGTGACACAGAAGTCCAACTGCTGGCCATTTTAACTTAAGGGCAGAAGGGCTCCCCGCTTTGCTTCTGCAAACCTCACCCCTCGCCCTCCACTAGGCGGGCGTCACCAGCTGCAGCCGCCCGCACCCCCGGTGCGAGGCAGCCGGCGCCTTTCCACCCCCGCTCTGGGGGCCAAGGCCGACGCAGCCCCGACGCCTGGGCGCGCGCCCTAGGCACACGTGACGGTGTGGGGAGGGCAGTTTTCTTCCTCCCCTCCCCCTTCTGAAGTCCCGCCTCCTCCTGAGAGGTTACAGCTTTTTATTGCGCCACCAACAGAATGACCCCCGTCCAAGCCAATCAGAAATCCAGTCCTCAAGTAAGACCCGCCCCCAATTGGTCCTCAGGTTCCTTCCCGCTCACACCGGAGTCACTTCCGAAGAGAGAGAACCGCCATGAAGAGAGAAGGGGGTGCCGCCCACCTCTGTTCCGACAGCCTCCCCGAGTCCCAGCAACAAGACGGCAACCACACACCCAACTTCTCCAGCCACAGCTCATGCCGCCGTCGCCAGCGGCGCCGACATGACAAGGCGCTGCATGCCCGCTAGGCCAGGTTTCCCCTCATCCCCAGCCCCGGGGTCGTCGCCCCCGCGCTGCCATCTGAGACCCGGTAGTACCGCCCCTGCTGCAGCGGGAAAGAGAACAGAGAGTCCTGGGGACAGGTACCGTGCAGAGGGCTTGAGAAGGGGCCGGGTCGCGGGGGCAAGGGTATGAGGGTAGGACTACAGACGGCCGCTCTTCAGTTCCCGCCATCCTCCGCGAGCTCCGGCCTTAGAGTTCCGGGGCCTGGCAAACCCTCGCCCCGCCTCCGCGCGGGGGCTTCTGGGAGTTGGAGTTTTCTTTTCTGTGGTTGGGGAGCTGCTCTTGGTCTAGTGACCACTAGCCTGGATGGCTACGGAGAGCCCGCCTTTGTTAGAACGCGAGTTTTGTCCTTTCGGAGAGCTTGGCTGGGGCCCTAACTCCTTGATGCATATTTAGGTCGTTTTCTGTACGTTCGCAGTTCTGATCTTGTTGGTTTAGTATGAACCTTTTTCTATATTGTGGGTGAAATTATGTAAGATGTGACGAAAAAAACCCACGAATTACTTTATAGTCCAGTGTATACGACAATTCATACCTTTAAAAAAGAGCATGCAGATTTGGAATGTGATTGTTTTCTCTTTCAGTTACTTTGTGCCTCTCCAAGAGGCCAATTTTTTTTGTAAAGATTGGGAGCTATGTAATGAGATGGGGAGTTTTATCAAATGACATCCTCTGACAATAAAACATACTTAAATTCTCTACGAACTTGGTACTGTCTTTTATTTTAAGTTTAAAAGCTTGTAACGATTTTAACAGTAAATTCATGGTCTGATATTGTGGTACAGATCCACAATCCCTTGTCTTAATCTGAAAGCCAGCAAGTTAAGAAAATGAAACGTTTTCGTTAAGTTTTGACACCACATCTTATTTGGCAATCAACCTTACCGGAACTAATATAAGGCTATTTATGGACTTTATTCCATTAAGTGTGAATATTAATAAGTTTTGCTGGAGAAATATTAATGTGCTTGATTACAGGTTGCAGCACTGGAAGCCACTGGGGACTTTGTATAATACATCAAATTATGTCCTTTTTAAAATCCAATAAAACACCCATTTGGCTTCAAAAGTTTCAGATAAGGGTTTGTGAAGCTGTTAAAAAAATTTTTTTTAACCAGTTATTTATATATAAATAAGTAGTGGACACTTCTGTGCCGATGAGCTAAGGGAACTATTATCTCTTGAAAGTTACATTCATGGTATTTTTACAGGTTACTCATGTTTTATCCAAAGTCATTTTTGTCTTACTAATGTATTCATTGAAAAGGAGCCTGAGATCTAATATTTTAGGGGAAAGATACAATGTTATGTTTAGTAATTAAGATAAAACATATTTAATATATCTTGTTTTGAATTAGCTGTTTCTGGGTTTTTTTGCATCTCTCCTCCACCAGTAACAAGGAATCATGTTTCTCCCCTTTTAGACCCTCTATCTTTTCTTTCTTTACTCTGTGGTAAAATTTACCTAATACAGTTTATTTTCTGTAAATAAATGCATATATTCCTCCATAACCTGTCACTCATATTCATCTCATAACCACTTAGGTTTTCCACCAATACCTCAAAATAAATATGGTGGACCTTCTCAGTAAACCAGCAAAGGTGTACTTTTTGTTCTAACGTGACCAATAAAGTGTACAAGGTTAACCTTGGGTTTGAGTTGTTCAGGTTTTCACCGAGTAGTCCATCTTCATAGTGTATAAGTGTTTAGAGAAACTGGTAGTCTATGCTTATTTTCTTTCAGCAAAATGAATACATTTTAGCAAAATTTGCCAGAAGTTTTTGTTGTTCTGGTATGGGGAATTGAAACCTGGGGTGCTTCATTATGAGCTGCATGTCCAAACTTTTTAAACCAGAGGCACTCTACCACTGAGCTACTTCCCCAGTAGCTTTTTTTTTTTCCGAGACAGCATCTCTCTAAGTTGCCTAGGCTGATTTGAACTTGTGATCCTCCTGCTTTAGCTTTCTGAGTATCTAAAATTACAAGCATGTGCCACCATACCTGACCAGAAACTTAATTTTTTTGCTCTGCATATATCATCTCCGGCCCACTGCCCCCGTTTTTTTTTTTTTTTTTTTTTGGTGGTGCTGGGGATTGAACTTGTGCATGCTGGGCAAGCACTCTACCAAATGAGCCACATCCCCAGTCCCAACATCCTCCTTTTTGTATCTCTAAATATGTGAACAAATCAGAACACAAATTCTGGCAATATAGTCCTATTTCATTTTGTGCCTAATTTAAGATACAGAAGTCACTAAAAATTAAGCAATTTGTTTTTTGTTATTTTTTACCTATTAACTTTCATTTCTTCTTGTTTTGCTTTTTTCTTGGTGTTATTTTTGAGAATATCCTAAGGATTCTTAGATGATAAAATAAAAAAATTTGAAACACTAGTTGTAAAGTCTACAATTTTTGCTATTGACTCCTTACTGTAGTGTATAAAGAGAGTAGTATGAGCTTAGTACTTGATTCTTTCTGCCTTTGCCTAGCACATTCTTCTTCAATTCTAAATACCAAAAAAGTTGAAATAAACATTCTTTAACAACTGCCTCCCCAGATCAACCAGATCACTCATACTACCATCCTACCATTTGCTTTCTTCTCTCATTGTGAGATTCTGTTTAGGTTTTAGTTCATTTTTACAATCTACATTTTTCATTTGGATTTTTGAGTGCTATTTTGTATGAATCACTAGAGAATACCAATAAACAGAATAAGATGCCTATCCCTATGATCTTCCATTCTACTGAGTATCAATCAGTACTAACAAGCACTCTACACCAATTCTCTGGACTTACACTCTAATCTTACTACTTTAATAATACTGTAGATTATATAGATCTTAGTAGTTTTAAGCTCATGTAGAGTGATGAATTTTCAATAATTTTTCAGCTTAGAAAAGCATGATTGCCATATTTAAACCAGATAGTGAAATCTAGCTAATATTCTATAAATCTAACATTTTTCATTTAATCTGAATTTTTGAGATTTTTAATATTTGCTTATGTGATACCATATTAGTTATGCTTTTATTTTCAGGAAGCAGTCAATTATAGATTTCTTCAAACAAGCTTCAAAACAAGGTATGTATACTGTTAATACTTTTGGGGGGGCTATTTTGGAGGTTAAGAGAGATGGGTTCAATTTTAAACCTACTCTAAACTTTGATTAAACAGTGTTCAAAATTGAAAATAATAATGTTTTAATGAGATACAGTTTTTTTAAACAAAGATAAACAAGTTCTAAACAGTCTTTTTGCTTTTATACATTCTTGCATTATACCATAAAATGTGTATTTTTACCCATATATTATTTGTTTGATAAGTTTTGTGATAACTAATGCATTTAAGTATTTTTAACTTTGATAATTAAGATAAATATAAAGCATCAGTTGTGTTATTTTTAATGTGTTTTAATTGGCTATTCAGATAGACATATGTTGGATTCTCCACAAAAATCAAACATCAAATATGGAGGAAGTGGATTGTCCATCACTGGGACAGAGCAATTTGAAAGGAAACCATCCTCACCAAAAAAATCTAAACCCAAAAGGGTGTCATCAGAGAAAAGTCCTATTTTAGAAGTTCTCATGAAAGGTGTTAATAAAGAGCATCATAAAGATCGTGATGTACATGAGTCACGTCGACCTTGTGTGTCACTAGGCTCCAAATATTTATCCAAAGGAACAAATATCTATGTTCCTTCTTCATATCGCTTGTCAAAAGAGATGAAGTCACTAAAGAAAAAACATCGGTCTCCAGAGAGAAGGAAATCACTGTTCACTCATGAAAATAGCAGGGAGAAGAATGATAGAGATCGAGGCAAGGCAAATTCAGACTCTAAAAAGCAGGCCATGGTGAGAGAAGCCGAAATCTTCAAGAATGGCTCCAGAAGTCTTAGTAGCCGGAGCAGCCTATCCAGACACCACCCAGGAGAAAGCCCATTGGGAGCTAAGTTCCAGTTGTCACTAGCTTCTTACTGCAGAGAACGGGAGCTGAAGAGGTTGAGAAAGGAGCAAATGGAGCAAAAAATCAACTCAGAAAATTCTTTCTCTGAAGCAAGCAGTCTTTCCTTAAAATCTTCTAGCGTGGGAAGAAAATGTACACCGAGGCAGGAACAAAGTAAACATAATGATGTCATACCTGGAAAAAGTAATCTTTCAAATCTGGTATGTGCGATAATTACTGAACTAGTTTTCCCACTACTGTATCAAAGTATTTAATAATTGTGATGTGTTAATTTTTTTTCTTTAAATATTTGTTTTTAGTTACAGGTGGACACAATATCTTTACGTGGTGCTGAGGATCAAACCCAGTGTGCCTCACGCATGCTAGGCAATCGCTCTACCTTTAAGCCACAATCCTAGCCCTATATATGTTGATATTTTTAAGGAGATACTGATACACAGTTTGTGTAGAAGCTGTTTTCATTAGTTTCTTCCAACGGTCCTTCATTAAATTCTTCCCTTAATTTTTTCAGACCAGGAACAAAGATCTTTTTAAGGAAAGTAGCATTTTTTGAACTTTTAGGCAAGTAAAGCTGTTTTTAAGTTAGGATATGCTGAAGGGAGTTATTCAAGGAGTAGCAAATCAAAGACAACAGAAAATGGTTTAGAGCACTGATTCTCAGAATGTCCCCTGGAGCAGGTGCAGCATTACCTGGGAACTTGTAGGAATGCAGTCTCAGATCCTACCCCAGGCCCACTAAAATAAAAAACTGTGGATATAAAAGCCCAGCAGTCTTCAATTAATGAGCCTTCCAGATGCACCTTAAAGTTTAAGAAGCAGTGGTTTAGATTTTATATTGTGTATGGGTCTTGGAAAACAGATGATGAGGATGATTTGAAAATTGTCCACATTCATCTTATCTCAGATTTTTCTTTTCTACATAGAGTGAATTTAGATTAGCATAAAAGCTATACCTTTCTCCAGAAAAAGTCAAGTTGTTAATTTCAGAGTGCTTCTCACAGAGCAAATAAAGAAAAGTCAGATGTCAAAATGGAATATTGATAAGTTGAACTTTTAAAACCAGACAGGCCACAAATAAACTATGACATTCCAGGAATAAATAGAGATTGTTGCTTTGTGCATTACTGTTTGCAAGAAGTTTGTTGTCTTTATCAGTGAGATTTGTTAATGGTCAACATAAGTAAGATTTGGACCGTTTTTATAGATTTCAGTGTTTGGTGGTACTTTAGACCTTAAACAGAAGTATCAAAGAGTATATTATATTTTTGTAATATAAATGCCCTACTTTTTATTTATTTAGCTCCCAGTAGTAGAGCTCTTGCCTGCTATGCTGAAACCCTAGGTAAAGCAAAAGCTCTACCTTGAGCTACATCCCCACACATACCTTCATTTTTAAGTCTTAAGATCTTTAAACATTTTATTTAGAACTTAGATGTTATCTCCAAATACAGATATTTCCTTTATTTCCTAACATTTAAAATCTATGTTTTAAATGTTAGGAAGAAAAGTTCATATTTATCGTCCCAATTTCCTAATTATTTTTTTTTTCATTTTCCAAATAGGAAAATGGACATCTCTCAAGAAAAAGATCCTCTTCTGATTCATGGGAACCTAATTCAGGTAGAATCAAATTTAAATTTGCAAATTATTAGATAAATTTGCAGCTTAGTGGTACTGCTTTTTAAACAAATCTGCCTAAATATTCAGTTCCCTAAGTGTTTCAGGTTAATTAATTAAGATTTTGGTAAAATTATATTAAAAAAAAGAATAGTCCTTGAATTTAGCATGCATGATCTGGTTCCTCTTGACAGTTCTCTCTCCACAGTCAGTTCTAACAATGTGTATCTCATTAGTATTCAGTGTTCTATTTCTGAATCCCTGGATACATCAAGAAGCTTAATCCTATATTCTTGGAATTGTGATGGTGGGGGGGGGGTCTTGGTGTTATGTTGAAGATACTTTATATAGGGTTGAAACTACTAATCATGATTCAAAATAGTGTTTCTTAATTTTTTAAATACAAACATGCCTTTTAAATATCAATTTTCAAGGACATTTTTAAGATAAGTATTCTGTATCTAAAAGTACTAAAAGTATCTACTGACTGAGAAAACGCATAGTTACTGTTAACTCAGTAATTTTTAAAGTATCTTTTTTTGACTAAAAAATAGAACATTAGAATTCAACCCTGTAGAAATATATGACACGGAAAATGAAAGTCTACCAAAAATAATAACTGATAATAAAACTTGGTATATCAAGTTTTTTCCCTACTGTAAGTGCAAACTTTGAAAACTGAACTTTAGATTCTATTCAGTAAGATACAATGGGTATGATGATAATAGTTAACATTTATTGAGCACTGACTGTGTGCCAGACCTTATTCTTTGTGAAATTAAAAATACAAATGGACTAGTGGCGTTGGAGGCTAAAGCAGGAGGATCATGAGTTCAAAGCCAGCCTCAGCAAAAGCGAGGCTAAGCAACTCAGTGAAGCCCCTTTCTCTAAATAAAATACAAAATAGGGCTGGGGATGTGGCTCAGTGGCTTAGTGCCCCTGAGTTTAATCCCCCATACCCCCAAAAAATTACAAATGGAGCTTGGCATGTTGGCATACACCTGTAAATCACAGTGGCTCAAGAGGCTCAGGCAGGAAGATTGCAAGTCAGTCTGAGCAATTTAGTGAGACTTGAAGCAACTTAGTGAGACCATGTCTCAAAATGAAAAATAAAAAGGTCTGGGTATGTGGCTCAGTGGGTAAGCACCCCTGGGCTCAATCCCCTGGTACCAAACCCCCCCCCCCCCAAAACAAACAAACAAACCAAACAAATGATATGTCTTGTCTGTCTTACTGGTATTCCATTTATCATATGTGATAACATACAAAATCACATGATTATTATACTCACACAAGTATAAGAATTTTAGAAATGTTGGTAGAGTAGGCATTTAGCTTTTTGGTTCTCCAGGGCTTTGTCCTTTGGTTGCATTCTTGAGGTCAAATTTAATCCATCCCTAGTATCTTTGATAATTTATTAATAACCAATCTCCTATTAGTGAACATTGAATATTTTTTTATGAACTCAATCCCAAATCCCTTATTAATGTAAATTGGAACCAGGTCCAGCGATTTGGGAAGCTGAGGCAGGAGGATCACAAGTTCAAGGCCAGCCATAGCAACTTAGTGAGACCCTGTCTCCAAAAGGGCTGGAAATGTAGCTCAGTGACAGAACACTCTTGGGTTTGATTCAGTACTACAGAGAAAAGAAAAAAAAATTGGCTTTTTCCTTTTCTTAAAAACTGTCTTTGAATATTTTATATATTACCGGACACTGAAAAAAGTGTAAAACAGTCTATAGGCACTACAAGGAGTGTCAAAAAAAAAAAAACATGGAAATTTTGCAATTAATCTGCCCTTGAAATCTTACAAAAGGGGAGCCTACCTGTAGTACCAGTTTATTTCCATCTAATTCTAGATTTTTAAAAAAACTGACTTGCCCTAAACATTTTCTTAAAATATTTTTTTGATCGTCAATGGATGGTTATTTATTTATTTATTTATTTATGTATGCGTGCTGAGGATTGAACCCAGGGCCTCACACATGCCAAGCAAGCGCTGTACCACTGAGCCATAATTCCAGCCCCTAAATATTTTCTATAAACAGTTTGCATATCCTCTTGGATAAGTCCTCATTTTAATTCATTTTTGCCTATAAAGATCGTATTTTCAAGATCACATTCTGTGGTGCTGGGCATCAGATAATATGTTATTTTGTGGGGACACAATGCAACCTATAACATGGCTAAAGACTAAAGGGATATATGGGGAAGAATAAATACTAATCAACTACTGAGGGGGAACATAGGTAAATTTATTTTTAAATGAGAAATTTAAATCTGTAAGTCTGCCTTGCTGGATAGTGTCACATACCTTTAATCCAATGGCTCAGGAGGCTGAGGCAGGAAGATTGCAAGTTCAAGGCCAGCCTCAGCAATCTAGAGAGGTTGTAAGCAACTTAGCAAGACCCTGTAAATAAAACAATATATTATTTTTATTTTAAAACTAAAAAGCACTGGGAATGTGGCCCAAGGGTTAAGCATCCTAGGTTCAATCCCTGGTACCAAAAATTAATAACAACATAATAATCTATCTGCAACTACTTATCCTTTATATGTCTGAAGGTACTATACTTTTTTTTATTAATTTATTTTTGTAGTATTGGGGATTGCAAGTGCTCTACCACTGAGCCACATTCCCAGGTTGGTGCAATACTTTAAAATATAGAAGTGTTATTCTGTAACCAGGTAGTCCTGTACTTGAGAGAATATCCAAAGTGCTTTTAAAACCCTTTCATGGGTATAAATATGGGTTTTTTATGTTTTAGGGAGTGGTGACTTTAATTCTACTAAGGTAGTGAATGTTTAATAGCCTTGAAATGAAAGTGACTGTTTGTTATTAGCTCTAAATTTCTTGGATACCAGTATCTATCAATTGATAAATAAATGGCTCTTTGCTCATTCCATATATGATGAATAATCTCAGCTTATAGAATTAAAACTTAAACATTTTTTCAGTGTATTCTAGATACTTAGTGAATAAGCTGAACTCAGGACAGTATACTTTTCACTAATCTGAAAAAAAATTATTTTTAGCAGGTTCTAAGAATAAATTCCCTGACAAGAGAAAAAGGAACTCTGTGGACTCAGATCTGAAAAGCACAAGAGAATCTGTAATACCGAAAGCAAAAGAGTCCATCCTTGAGAAGCGTTCTGACGGACCACATCAGAGAGAAAAATTTATAAGACATATTGCACTGAAGACACCTGGTGGTGTGCTGCGCTTGGAAGATATATCCAAGGAACCAAATGATGAAACTGATCACTCCTCCACAAGCTTAGCACCTTCAAATTCTGGCTACCATTCTTCCAGGAATAGTGACCAAATCCGTGTGGCGAGTACCAAAGAGACTAAGATACAGAAACCCCACTTATCTTTACCTCAGGAAAAATCTACAATTAAAAAGGCTAGCAACCTTCAGAGAAATAAAACTGCTAGCTCTGTGACATCAAAAGAGACAAAACTTCTACCTTTGCTCTCCCATGTTCCAAGTGCTGGTTCTTCTCGGGTACCATTAAATGCTAAAAATTGCACTCTTCCAGTTCCTAAAAAAGATAAAGAGCGTTCCTCATCTAAAGAATGTTCTGGGCATTCTACAGAATCCTCCAAACACAAGGAACACAAAGCAAAGACTAATAAGGCTGATTCTAATGTATCTTCAGGGAAAATTACTGGGGGATCTTTACGTTCAGAATGTGGCACTTCTACAAAGTCTCCCCCAGCTGCTTTGGAAGTTGTGCCATGTATCCCAAGCCCTACAGAACCTTCAGATAAAGCCCCTTCAGATAAAGAGAGTTCAGGAAATTCCAATGCAGGTAGCAGTGCACTGAAAAGAAAATTAAGGGGTGATTTTGATAGTGATGAAGAAAGTTTAGGTTATAACCTAGACAGTGATGAGGAAGAGGAAACCTTAAAATCACTGGAAGAAATAATGGCTTTGAACTTCAGTCAGACTCCTGCAACTTCAGGAAAGCCTCCTGCTCTTTCTAAGGGGCTTAGATCTCAGTCATCAGACTATACAGTAAGTAGTTCTGTGACATTTATAATTTTACTTGAAAAGATGGATTAGTGAAGGAAGATAGGTTGTTAAAACTTACTTTAAAATTCAATATTTATTATAACTCCTAGTTAGACCAAAACTAGTATAATTCTTGTTTAGTAATTGAGTTTCCCATATCTTTAGTTTTATTACTGTTAATCAGTGGTCTCCAAGCTTATTTGATCACACTTTTTTAGTAAAAAAAAAAAAATTGAGCATGTACCCCAACATATATATGTATACTGATAGATTATATACATGTACCACTATAATAATATTGTGTACTTTCTAAAGCATATGCAAAAACAGAATTTAAAAAGAAAAAAAATAAGTATTTTCCTATTAAAGTTATATAGAAGTTACTATAGAGTAAGTTCTATTGGAGTTTCTATAGAAGTTCCATATAAATAGAAGTTCTATTATTTTCTTCCTGCACCCCAATGGATCACCTTGCACACCCCCTGCTTTGGAGACCACTGCTGTAAATGAAGGTAGAGTGTAGAAATGTTGTTAATTGTGGTGTGCAATTTTATTTATAAATTGCTTCATTCTATCTTGGGAGTAAGCTGAATTCTAAGATGTCTGTAAAATTTGGTGGGGAAGGTGTTTATATTCCATGGTAACACCTAAAGATTAGTTTGGTTTCACTAAAATAAAACTTAGAAGTAAAGATAGGGTAACTATAGAGCCTTTGGGTGTTTACAATCAGATCCTAAGGCTAGCAGGGTTTTATAAGCCATGCCTTTCCTAATAGATGATAAAAGCAAATTGCCTGCAGTATAAAATACTAGATTTAAAGCATGAAAATTCTCCTTTAAGAAAGGTCTTACCCTGGCCTTTGTTATTGAAATAGAAAGTAACCTTTAGTACTCAGAATAGCTTAAAACACCTCAGATCTTCTATGAAGATATGTTGTAAAGGATTTCTGAATTTTCTTCTTGTTTTAGGAGTATGTTCATAGTGGAACTTATACAAATACTTTAGATCGTCTAGTGAAAGAGATGGAAGACACACAAAGGTTAGTTAGCATCATGATTAATTTACTAAATGTAACATACTATTGTTTGTGCGACCGCCTTTTAATCTGCCTTTTAAGAAAAAATAGCGTACATGCTGTGTAAGTACCTTTATAACAACAGTTCTATGTGAGCTGTGTTAGAAATAAGATGGGTTCTCTTGTTCATAGGCTGGATCAAAAGATCCAGGTATTGCAGGGCTGGGGATGTAACTCAGTGGTAGAGTATGTGCCTAGCATGCCCTGGCCCTGCATTCGATCCCCAGCACCACCAAAAAAAAAAAAAAAAAATCCAGATTTTTATGGTTTATTGTATATTACATTAACTAATAGATCCCATTCAGCTTATCAGTAGTATCTGATAATGGAAATTCTTAATCAAAAGAATGGATAGAATTTATTTTGAAGTGTACAGTAGTTCAGTTCATTTAAGTACTTTGACATTGTTTTGCAAACATTGGTGCCATCCAGCTCCAAACTTTTTTCATCTTCCCAAACTGAAACTATACCCAGGAAACTAATTGTCCATATTTCCCCTCTGCCCTTGGCAACTACCATCCTATTTTCTGTTTTTATGAAATGGACTGTCTAGCTAGGTATTTCATAAAAGGAGGATCATACAGTGTTTGTCCTTTTATGACTGATTTATTTCACTTGGTGTAATACCTTCATTGTTCATTGATGGTGAAGAATGTGTCCAAATTTCCTTCTTTTTAAGGTCAGTTATTCTATTGTATTATGTATAGATCATATTTTGTTTATCTATTCATTTGTCAATGGCCACATGTTATATCTACTTTTTGGCTATTGTGAGTAATGTTGCTGTGAACATGAATGTACATGTATCTTATGTTCCTGCTTTTAGTTCTTTCATGTATATATCCTAAGTTGACTTGCTGAATCATAAGGTAATTGTTTCATTGGGGGGGAACTGCCACACTGCTTTCTACCTGCAATGCATAAAGCTTTCCTATTTCCACATAGTCTAATTATTTTTTCATTTTGGATAACAGCCATACTAATGGATTTGAAATGGTAACCCCTTATGATTTTGGTTTGTGCTTCTCTCATGACTAAAGATGTTAAATACCTTTTCATGTGCTATTGAGCATTTGCATAGTTTCTTTGGAGAAATACCTGTTCAGATCCTTTGCCTATTTTTAATTAGATTATTTCATGTTTTTGTGATTCACACAGGAAAAATGAACATTAGTATGTTCACCAACTCCAAGCTTTGAGGTCAATAACCAGACATGGTATTTCTACATCAAAGTTACTCTTGAATAGCTGCAGCATTATGATGAACATCCCTCCTCTCCGTTGCCTACCTCCCACAAATCAGAAAGTTGAGGATCATTATTTTTTCTAATGAAATTTATGTGACTAGATAGAGACCTGTTGTTGCTAATGAGAGGGGGGAAATACATTCCTTATTAATTCAGGGAATATCCATGAATCCAGAGCATGTCACTTAAAAGTTCAGCTGACTTGCCAGACATGGTGGGGCACACCTATAATCCCAATTTCTCAAGAAGCTGGGGCAGCTGAGGCAAGAGGATCACAAGTTCAAAGCCAGCCTTAGCAACGTAGTGATGCCCTGTCTCAAAATAAAAAGGGCTGGGGATATGGCTCAGTGGTTAAATGCCCCTGGGTTCAGTCCCCAGTACCAAAAATAAATAAATAAATAAATAAGCAAGCTGACTTGATAACATAGAAGTTGGTATATATGTATCTCAAATTTGATAACCAAATAGCTAATTATAGGAATTATGGATAATTAGCAGGTCAAAAAGTTTTTCTCTCTCTGAATTTAATTAGAGAAATTGTCTCTTATAAAGTTCTTTAAATGTTTTGTGAACTTATAGGATGAATCTAAAGTTGTTTGGTTGGGTTTTGGCGTCAAGGGTTGAACCCAGGGTGCTTAATCACCAAGTGACATTCCCATCCCTTATTATTTTTTATTTTGAGTCAGGGTCTCACTAAGGGGATGGCTTAGGATGGCTCAGTTGCTGAAGCTGTCTTTGAACTTGCAATCCTTCTGCCTCAGTCTCCCAAGTGCTGGTTTATCATCACAATACCTAACCCTTACTAAGCACTTAGTACATTACGGTAGTAAGATGTATTAAAGCTTTCTTTTTTTTTTTTTTTTTTTTTGGTACTAGGGATTGAAGCCAGGATGTTTTACCATGGCGCTACATCCCTACTCCTTTTTATATTTCGAGACAATTTTTTGTTAAATAGCTGAAGCTGGCCTTGAACTTGCAATCATCCTGCCCCAGATTACAGGCATTTACCACCAATAACTGGCTGAAGTCACTTATTAAAAATTGAGCATTGCTCATAAAGAGAGGTAGATATAGTCAATCTGATTTGACTTTTAAGTGGTTGGGATTTTTTTTCTCTAAAATGGATAATAAGAAAACTACTACATGGGGTTGTTGTGAGAATTAAGGGTTAATACAGCTGGGCATGGTGGCACACACCTATAATTCCAGCAATTTAGGCATTTGGGGCAGGATGATTGCAAGTTCAAGGCCAGCTTCAGCTATTTAACAAGAATTTGTCTTGAAATGTAAAAGGAGTAGGGATGTAGCGTCATGGTAAAACACTCCTGGCTTCAATCCCGTACCCAAAAAAAAAGAAAGAAAGTCTTCATACATCTTACTAATCGTAATGTAGTAAGTGCTTATTAAGGGTTAGGTATTGTGATGACAACCATGATGACAACAAAAACAGCCCTGGAAAAATTGTTAACATTATCTGGGGTTGCTCAGGTTTTGTAATTCCAGCTACTCAGGGGCCTGAGATAGGATTGCAAGTACTAGGCTAGCTTGGGCAATTTAGCAAGACCTTGTTTCAAAATTTAAAAAAGTAAAATTGGCTGAGTGTGTAGCTTAGTGTTAGAGCATCTCTGGTTTAAATCCCTAGTGCCACAAAAACAGTTGTCTACTGGGCATCAAATGAGTATTAAAAGATTAGAGAAGATAATCAAATTAACAATGTTCATTCTTTGCCATTTTTTTTTAAATTTTTTAGTTTTAGGTGGACACAACATCTTTATTTTATTTTTATGTGGTGCTGAGGATCGAACCCAGCGCCCTGCGCATGCCAGGCAAGCGCGCTACCGCTTGAGCCACATCCCCAGCCCTCTTTGCCATTTTTCTTTTCTGAATCTCCAAAGTAATTTGGACAGGTCATTCTTAAAAGTCCTTTGCTATAAAGAAATATTGAAGTCTTTTTTGTAGGGACTGGGGTTGTAGCTTGCCTAGCACGCGTGAGGCACTGGATTCTATCCTCAGCACCACATAAAAATAAAATAGTTTTTAAAAATTTTTTAAAAAAATCTTTTTTGTAATGGAACACTGTTCTGATAATTATGCCAATTGTTGCATAAAAGCTTAATACCTAAAGTAGACTTTCTTTGTCTTAGGAAAAATGGTGTACTGTTTTAAACATCATAATATATTTGGGAGACATGATTTGATCTATAGTATAACAGGATAAGGTAATAGGGTACTTAATAACATTTTTCCTTGATACTACTTTTAGATTGATATCAGGTAAAGTTTTCAGGGGCTTTTTGGTTTTTTTAGAGTAATCTATTTATCAGAGCATTGTTTTAATTATCAGGCTAGATGAACTGCAGAAGCAACTACAAGAAGACATAAGGCAGGGCCGAGGCATTAAATCACCAATCAGAATCGGAGATCAAGACAGTACAGATGATGAGGATGGCCTCTTGGAAGAGCACAGGTACATTTCTCATTATATGTGCCCTATTAAGTTTTTAGATTTTTTTAAAATTTAATTTTTTTGGTATCAGGGATTAAACCTAGGGGTGCTTAACCACTGAGCCACATCCCCACCACTCTTTTATTTTTTTATTTTGAAACAGAGTCTCACTAAAAGTTGCTTAGGGTCTCACTAAGTTGCCGAGGCTGGCTTTGTACTTGAGATCTTCCTGCCTCAGCCTCCCAAGCCACTGGGATTACACACCATGACAAGCCTTACATTTTTTAATTTTGTTTTTGTTAAATACATATAGAATAAAGTATGTTGGATTTCAAATTCATCTCTGATGATGCTGAAAGGCAAATGTTAGAGCCCAGGCATCTTTTGCCTTTTCTGTGGGTTATGGTTCCTTTTCATACAGATTTATTCAATGACTTTTGAGTAGTATGGACAGTGAGGGGGAGGAGCAAAACAACTTTTTCTTATGCTGATGTTCTAATCTGGGATTAACATTGATTCTAACAATGTTTTAAGTACCAAACCATATGCAGTATAACTATTTGGTTTTCAATGACTTTTTTTATTTCAGGGAATTTCTTAAGAAATTTTCAGTTACAATTGATGCTATTCCTGATCATCATCCAGGTGAAGAAATATTTAATTTTCTCAACTCTGGGAAAATTTTCAATCAGTATACCTTGGATTTAAGAGACTCTGGTTTTATTGGACAAAGTGCTGTAGAAAAGCTTATTCTCAAGTAAGTAGAAAGTAGGCTTGCTTTTGGGGGACTGGGCAGGGGACAAAAATTATCCTAAAAGACTTGACCAATGTAATTTTCTAAAAGGTAAATTTCTATTATGATCTATCTAGTTTCCTAATCTTTTTATTGTTCTTTGTGTTTTTCTTAATAGTTTTTTGGCACATCATGTGCTCTTGTTAGTTGGGCTTATGATCAGTGCATAATATTGAATGGTTAAAATAGCAGGGACTTTATTAAACATATTGCCTTCTTATGTGAAAGAAGTAAAGAAACAGGTTAGCCAGATGTGGTGGTGCTGGCCTGTAATCCCAGCATCACTGGAGGCTGAAGCAAGGATTACAAGATCAAGGCCAACTTTAGCAACTTAGTGAAACTCTGTTCAAAATAAAAAGGGCTGGGCTGGGGCTGTAGCTCAGTGGTAAATAGCCCCTGGGTTAAGTTCCCAGTACCAAAAAAATAGTAGTACAGAAATAGGAAGTTCGGGGCTGGTATGTTGTTTTCACTATATTTGTTCTTCACCATTCTTTGCACCTCATTGCTTCAGGTATTAATGTTCTAATTTCCCCAAATCCCATACAACATTAGAATTATTTTGTCCATCAGATAATTGTAGAGTTAGGCCAACAGATTGAATCAGCTTTACGCCGTGAATTGATTTTTTTTTTTCCTTTCTTGAGTAACCAATCAATATTGGTGTATAGTCCACTTCCGTAGACTAGGGATAATTTTCTCATTTTCCTGATTGTATCAGATGTGGTGATGGTGGAAGTGTTTTGCCACAAAAACACTCATTTGTTTTACTTTTTTTTTTCAGATCGGGAAAAACAGATCAGATTTTTTTGACAACACAAGGTTTCCTCACCTCTGCTTACCATTATGTTCAGTGTCCTATACCTGTATTAAAGTGGCTGTTTCGGGTAAGAAATGTTTGGCGGTTCTCTTCCTCAGCCAAAAACAAACTATTTAAATATAATTTTTTTGTACGTTTCTAGAGAAAAAAATTAGCTCATCAAACCTTGGTTTCAATGACTTAGAATGAGGGAGGAAAGGTCAATGTGATGAGCTGGATTCAGTAGTGCATGCCTATAATTCCAGAGACTCAGGAGGCTGAGGCAGGAGGATCCCAGGCCAATCACAGCAACATAGTGAGGCCCTGTGTCAAAATCTAAAAAAAAAAAAAGTCAAATCAGTATAAAGAAATTCTAAAGAAAATTATAATGAGCTGGGCATAGTGGCACACACGTATAATTCCACTAACTCAGGAGGCTAAGGCAAGAGGATTGCCAAGCTCAAGGCCAGCCTAGGCAATTTAGCAAGATCCTATCTCAAAATTTAAAAAAGGTCTGGGGATGTGCCTCAGTGGTACAGCACCTTTCGGTTCAATCCCAATTACTGCAAAATAAATGGAAGAATATGATAATGAGCTGGGTACAATGGCACATGCTTGTAATCCCAGCAACTCAGGTGGCTGAGGCAGGAGCATTACAAGTTTGAGGCCTGCCTAGGCTTCAAACCCTGATTCAAAATTAAAAAAAAAAAAAAAAAAATTTTTAAAGGGTTAGAGTCATACAGTGGTAGCAGTACCCCCCTGCCTCACCCTCCCCCCACACACACACTCATGTACACATACATAAAATGATAATGTAGATCATGTTCAGGTCAGGATAAAAATAATGTTTCACACAATTAGATGCTTTTGTCACACTGGTATACTGGAAAATCAGTATTACAGGCACATAGACTTAGGAAGATCCTTTAATTTCTTTCATGTTTATGGTAAATATTCTTTATTCATGTGTATATTTTAATGCAAATACAACTTTTCTTTTCTCCATGCATATGTAATACTTAAATTCACATAAATACTTATTTTATTGTATATAAATTGTAATTTTATAATGGTATTATTGATTTTATATATAGAATCCTGTTGTTACTATAATTTGGACTTTCAGACCGAAAACTTCAAATTAGAATTTACTATTCTTGACATTTCTATCATCCAGAAAATGCCTATTCAGGATTAAAATAGTGTTTGTTGGCAGAGCTGAGAGGCTGTGTAAGGCCTTTTTACACTACACTAGGTTCTATATTGACAAGTAATATAGTTATGCCCAGGTGGGTTGCAATTGTCATTCTTTTAGAAACTAAAACTATGAATGACAAATGTTTTTATCAGGTTGCTGGGGTGTTCCATTTTAATAAAATCCTGGATATGTGTTAGAGTTAACAAGTATGTGTTAGGGTAAAATAACAATATGTAAAAGTTCCTTATCAGAGAACCATAATTATATGCAAACTGAGAAGTGGAAAAAACATGAAGTTTCTACATTGGGCTTTAATACAGCATTTCAAGTTATATTTGGCAAGAACTAGAGACTACATTGTATGGATTTTGATTCTTTTTTTTTTTTTCAGTTTTGAGTGTCACCTGTGCCAGGCACTGGAGAAAACAGCAGTGAAAAAAAATCAGGCTCTCTGATCTCAAGAAGCTCACATTCTAGTATTGAGAATACAGACAATAAACAAATGTGTGCTTGAACCATTTATAAATATGTTAGATGTTAAGTACTAGGAAGAAAATTAGTAGGTTAAGTTTTCCCAGTGGGAGATAGTCTTGCAGTTATTTTTAAATAGTTATCACTACCCTCATCCTTCCCCACTCTAAATATTCTCCCATCCCTTTACTATCTTGATCATCTTTCTGAGTGATCTTTACCTTGTCAGTGTTACTCCTAAGTTGTTCCACCTCCCACTACAAATGGACATATGTTCCAGATAAAGTCTTGTCTTCCAGTAGTTTCCAGTGACACACTTCCATCTATCTCAACCATGTATTTCAAAACTTCATTTGCTATCATGCCAGGGCTTCATTATCTCCAATTATATATATCTTTTCTTAAACTTACAAGTATGACTTTGTATTTATATCTATGCTAATTTTCATCTTATTGATGTGGGTCTATCAGTGTAGATTTTAAAGCTGCTATTGTGACATAACAAGCATATCTTCTAAGTATTTTTTTATACTCATTTCATTCTTTGAAAACCAAATTAATAATCAGTCACTAAGTATTTTCTCTATATATGACACATTGTCTCCTTTTTCCTTTTCTATTGTAAATCCATTTCATGGTACAAAGGCTTTACCAACTTATGATTATTTTTTAGAAAATATGTCCAAATTCGGGCTGGGGATATGGCTCAAGTGGTAGCGCGCTCGCCTGGCATGCGTGCGGCCTGGGTTCGAAAAGAAAAAGAAAATATGTCCAAATTCATCTTACTATTTTGTAACTACTATTTTGTAAATTTGTTTAAAATATAATAAAAATATTCACATTTTTGTGACTTTTTTTATCATGTGTGTCTAAATGTAGTAGACCAGACCAGAAAGTTTACTACTTTAAAAAAAATTTTTTTAGCCATTTTCAAAAGAAAATAATTTTATTGTGAAAAATTCAAGTGAAATGGAGAGACAAAAAAAAATTTTTTTTTTTTTAAAGCTATCTAAATGTATCTCAAATCTTAATTTTCAGGATCTGTTAACATTTTGGTCAATGTTTTCTAGGTTGCTCTCTATGTACAAAAATTACTGGATATCTAGGCACAAATGATGTATGCCTATAATCCCAGTGGAGGCAGGAGGATCACAAATTTGAGGCCAGCCTCAGCAACTTAATAAGATACTCTCTTAAAATAAAAAATGGGGGAAAAGAGGCCTGGGGATGTGGCTCAGTGTAAAGGGCCCCTGGATTCAGTCCCCACTACAAAAACAACAACAAAATTTACTGTGTAACTTAGTGTAAAAAAAACATGAATATGTTTTATAACCTGTTTATTTCAGATAACAAACTATGATCGCAGTGTAAAACATTTTTCTTTTTATCCTTTTTAATGACCTTATAGTATTCCTTTGTCAGGCTGCTTAACATTTCTTTAAACCAGTCTGAATTTGATAGACATTAGATTTGTTGTATAGCATCTTTACATATTTATATAATTTCTGAAATTATTGTATTGCTCATCCTAGAATTCCTCACCCACCAATAAAAGATTGTTATCCAAGCCAGGCATGGTGGCGCATGCCTGTAATCCCAGCGGTTTGGGAGGCTGAGGCAGGAGGATCGCAAGTTCAAAGCTAGTCTCAGCAACTTAGTGAGGCCCTAAGAAAGTCAGGGAGACCCTGTCTCTAAATAAAACACAAAAAAGGGCTGGGGACGTGGCTCAGTGGTTAAGCATCTCTGGGTTCAATCCCTGGTACAAAAAATAAAAGCAAAAAACTGTTATCCGAACTTGTCCTTTGTGCAGCATGTCTTTTTTAGTAAGTTCCTGGTAGCAGAACTTAACAGCACAAACAAGATAAAGACCTTTTTTTCACATAGATTGTTTTTGAAATCTTATAGTCATACACCTAATTGAGAGCAGAATTTAGGTTTTTCCCCCTTACATTTTAAATTTACTATAAACTTAATTTTTGACAAAAGAAAAAGATAACAATTGAGCCAGGCGTACATGCCTGTAATTCCAGCAGCTTGGGAGGTTGAGGCAGGAGGATCATGAGTTCAAAGCCAGCCTTAGCAGAAGCAAGACACTCAGTAACTCAGACCCTGTCTCTAAATAAAATACAAAATAGGGCTAGGAATGTGGCTCAGTGGTTGAGTGTCCCTGAGTTCAATCCATGGTACCCAAAAAGAAAAGAAGAAAAAGATAGCAAGCTCAGCAAGCACTCTACACTGAGCTACATGCTCCGCCTAACAGCTTTTAAACGTGAGGTTTTGGTGGTCTTCTGAGAGTTATTTCTCTGCATCTAAATTCCTATATGTAAAAAGACTGACTAGATCAAAGTGCAAATAAAGTGCATTGGTAAGCCAGCACAGTGGCACATCCCTGAAGTCCCAACTCTTTAGGAAGCTGAGGCAGGAGAATTGCTTAAGCCCAGAAATATGAGCCTGGGCAACATAATAAGACCTCATATCAAAATAAATAAGTAATTTAAAAAACAAAAATGTATTAGTAGGGCTGGGATTGTGGCTCAGTGGTAGAGCGCTTGCCTAGCGTGTGTGAGGCACTGGGTTCAAGTCTCAGCACCCCATATAAATAAATAAAGATCCATCAACAGGGGGCTGGGTTTGTGGCTCAGCAGTAGAACGCTCACCTAGCACGTGTGAGGCACTTGTTGGATACTTGGCACCACATAAAAATAAATAAATAAAGTTATGGTGTCTTACTACTACTAAAAAAAGTATTTTTAAAAAAAGATCCATCAACAACTATAAGAAGAATTTTTTTTAAAGTATATTAGTATATTAGGTTGTATATTTGTATCTCTCAAATATTTTACTAGTTTGTGGTTTGAGTTTTGCCTATTATGTAATGTTAAACCTGGCAGACTTATGTGGATCTTGGTTTCATGTCATCATGCATCCAGGAGAGGCATTTTTTGATGGTTTCAAATGTTATAGTTGTCTAATTATAAATGAAAGTTGTTTAAAAAAAAAAAAAAAGTAACGGACTAGAAAGAGCCCTGACTTTGGAATGAGACCTGACTTTAAATTCCACGTCTTCCATGTATCCCATGTGTTACATTGGGCAAGGTATTTAATCTACATTTTCTCATACATGTAATGAGGACTACCTCACAACATTACTATAAGTATTAACTGTAAACATCTTTATATGTGCCTGGGAAGTATAAATGCTCATATTTTTATACTCTTGCCATTTATTTTGAACAGATGATGTCAGTTCATACAGACTGTATTGTGTCAGTGCAAATTTTAAGTACGTTGATGGAAATAACAATTAGAAATGGTAAGTATATAAATTTTGCTGTGCTTTATAGCATGTATATTGGTTATTTCTTGATCTCTTTCATATTCTAAATGTTAATGTATTTGGAGATGTTGAATTAAAAAATTGTTTTGTAACCAAATATCTTTAATGATGAAATGAACTCCAATAAAAAGTGAGTATATGTGTGGGGCATGGTGGGGCATGCCTATAATCCCAGCTACTTCAGTTCCTTAGTATTGCAAGTTGAGGCCAGCTTGGGCAATTTAGCAAGACCCTGTCTCAAAATAAAAAGGGCCAGCGATGTAGCTCAATGGTAGAGCATTACTGGGTTCAATCCAGTGTGCTACTGCAAAAAAAAATGTACTGGTATCTGTATTTTTTTAGTTGCATTCATTAAAGGCAGTGTAAGATTTTTCAAGTGGCAACCTTTTCTTAATATTTAGGAAATCATGGCCTATTTCGGAGCAATAAATGGAAATAATTAAGACTTATTTAAAAAATTAATTTAAAAAATTTTTTAAATTGTAGATGGATACAATACCTTTATTTTATTTATTTTTTTATGTGGTGCTGAGGCTTGAACCCAGTGCCTCACACATGCTAGGCAAGTGCTCTACCACTGAGCCACAATCCCAGCCCCTCAACCAATTAACTTTAATTGGCTTTTGGTGAGCAACAGTATTGTATTGATATTACACTAATGCATATTGAAAGCATCTATTGCAAAAGTGTGATAGTTGCTTTTTCACCTTTGAGAACCCTTATATTAAATAAAAGAAGCATTATGGTTTACTTGATTATTTGTTTGGGAGAGTTAAGACTTATAAAGACAATAAAGATAATAGAATCTTCCTATGTGGATGGTGGTTGGGATTTTACCATTGTTATATCCGTTCATTTCAAAATGTATTACTTCAAGCTGGATATGGCTGAGGCTGGAGAGAGGCAGCAGGATCACTTGAGCTAACCAGTTCAAGGCCAGCCTAGGCAACATAGTGAGACCCTGTATCCAAAAAACAACAACAGCAACAACAAAACAAAATGATTACTTCCTTCTGAGTTACACTCATCTATCACTCTCAGGTAGTTTCTTCATTAAAGTCATTTCCTTCATACTTGTTTGAAAATCTATAATTCCTTTGATCATTCTGTAACTTAAACTATATTATTAACATTATTAGCAGATAATATTTTATAAAATCATTTTAATAACCTATGTTTTACAAGCAGGCTATCATTTTGCAAATATGGGGTTTGTAGACCAGTGATTTGGAATAAAATATTTTCTTCTGTTAACCAGATACTTTCAGTGACTCACCAATTTGGCCTTGGATCCCATCATTGTCTGATATAGCAGCTGTGTTTTTCAATATGGGGATTGATTTTAGATCTTTGTTTCCTCTGGAGAATCTTCAACCAGACTTTAATGAAGACAATCTAGTGTAAGTTTCCTTTTCATAATTAACTCCCCAAACAACATTTTAAAATAAGTTACATAAAATAACAGTTGATATTGGTTTAATGAGTTCAGTATTGTTCTTTATTATTTTAAAGGAATCTCTTAAGAGTTGAGATCAATCTTAAAATAGATACATTTTTAACATCTGTGTTAATCTAAAAGCCATTATCATGTTTAACAGGGAAATGATAGAAACATCTCCATAAAATGTTGTGGTTTTTCTGTTTTTTTTTGATACTAGGAATTGAACCCAGGGGTGCTTAACCACTGAGCCACATTCTCAGCTCTTCCTATTTTTTTGTTCTGAAACAGGGTCTCACTGAGTTGCTGAGGCTGGCTTCAAACTTGTAATCTTCTTGCCTCAGCCTCCCAAGTCACTGGGATTACAGGTGCATGCCACCATACTCGGCTCCCATAAAAAGGTTTTTTAAATCCAGGTGTGGTGTGGTGGCACATATCTATAATCCCAGTGACTGGGTATGCTGAGGTAAAAGGATCACTAGTTCAAGGCCAGCCTTGGGAACTTAGTGAGACCCTGTCTGAAAATAAAATGAAAATATCTGGGGATATAGTTCAGTGATAAAGAACCTCTGCGTTCAACCCCCAGCAGCCCCACCCCCCAAAAAAGTAAGAGTACTCATTGTTTTGTAGATATTGACCAAAGTCATTGGCAAGAGGAAAGAAATAGCATATAAAAATCAGAAAGAAGTTGATGATAAATCATTTATTTGATAAGTGATTTAATCCATACATAGAATTGTATAATCAGTTGAAAAACAGTGAAAAATAGAATTTGATATGGGTACCAGCATACAGAATTTATGAAAAACCAATAACCCTTAGATAGCTGACCTGCAGCTAATTTAAATGATAACACTGGAAGAAAAGACAGTAAATTTTTAATTAAAATTTTCATTGACAGTAATTTTTTTTTGAAAGAAATACCTAGGAATAAACTCAACTGGAAGAGTGAGAGAGAGAGAGAGTGTGTGTGTGTGTGTGTGTGTGTGTGTGTGTGTATGTATGTATGTATGTATGTGTGTGTAGGTAAAACATTACTAAAGGACAAAAAGGACTTTAGGGGAAAGCCTGTCATAGTTCTAATATGAAAATTACACATTATTTATAATGAGATCCTGAAGATGGTGGAGTAGCAATTCGAAGCGGTCAGTATTAAGTCTTTGGGCCGACTTCAGTTCTGGTCTCCGCAGCAGCAGTGATCGCTGAGTGATGAGTGCCTAGGATAATTGCCCAAGATGCTGAATATCAAAATCTTCAGTGGCAGCTCTCATCAGGACTTACCCAGAAAATTGCTGACCGCTTGGGCTGGAGCTAGGGAAGGTGGTGACTAAGAAATTCAGCAACCAGGAGACCTCTATGGAAATTGGTGAAAGTGTACATGGAGAAGATGTCTACATCATTCAAAGTGGTTGTGGTGAAATCAACGACAATCAAATGGAGCTTTTAATCATGATTAATGCCTGCAAGATTGCTTCAGCCAGCCGGGTTACTACAGACATCCCATGTTTCCCTTATGCCCGGCAGAATAAGAAGGAAAAGAGCTGGGCACCAATCTCAGCTAAGCTTGTTGCAAATATGCTGTCTGTAGCTAGTGCAGATCATATTATCACCATGGATCTGCATGCTTCTCAAATTCAGGGCTTTTTTGATATCCCAGTGGACAATCTGTATGCAGAGCCAGCTGTCCTGAAGTGGATTAGGGAGAATATCTCTGAGTGGAGGAATTGCACTGTTGTGTCACCTGATGCTGGTGGAGCCAAGAGAGTGACCTCCATTGCAGACAGGTTGATCGTGGACTTTGCGTTGATTCACAAATAACGGAAGAAGAAGTGGACCGCATGGTGCTAGTGGGAGATGTGAAGGATTGAGTGGCTGTCCTTGTGGATGACATGGCTGACACATGTGGCACAACTTGCCATGCAGCTGACAAACTTCTCTCAGCTGGAGCGACCAGAGTTTATGCTGTCTTGACTCATGGAATCTTTTCTGGCCCGTGGCCCAGCCATTTCTCGAATCAATAATGCATGTTTTGAAGCAGTAGTGGTCACCAATACCATACCTCAGGAGGACAAGATGAAGCATTGCTCTAAAATACAGGTGATAGACATCTCTATGATCCTTGCAGAAGCCATCAGGAGAACTCATAATGGGGAATCTGTTTCCTACCTATTCAGCCATGTTCCTTTGTAATAGAATAACTTAAGGCTTTTTTAAAAATGAAATCAATTCTACCCCTTATTTCCCTTGGTATTTTATGGCAAATTCAGCCTAAGTCCCAGCTTGCTCCAGTATAGCTTTCTACATCCCACATCATGTAAATGAGAGTTTATTGTAAATTGGGGGAAGACAGATTGAGATTAACTGCTGGGATTTCTTTAACTGCATTGTCTCATTCTGGTTTCCGTAATGATTTTGTGAACTTTGCAGCTTTAACTAGAGTTCAGCTGCTGCAAGATCTCAGATCTGAGGGTGTTGAATAAAGCTGTTTGAATGGTTGGGGAAGCTCAGCTTTGCATGTGAATGCTTTGGGGATTTTTCTTTGTCAGAACAACTAGCAACAAAGCAGCCCATGTGTGACAAGTTCTCCAAGATCTATGATAAATTAAGAACAAGATGGGCTGGGGATGTGTGTATGCGGCCCGGGTTCGATCCTCAGCACCACATACAAACAAAGATGTTGTGTCCACCGGAAAAAAAAAAAAAAAACTAAAAAATAAATATTAAAAAATTAAAAAAAAAAAAAAGAGAACAAGAGCCCTGGGCAACCCCCAAACCTATTCTCCTGAGCAAGCACCCTGTTAAGGCAGGAGCAGGCAACTCAGCCTGAAAAAACTGGTGGGTGGGATTCTGAGGAAGGAGGGGGTAGCACAGTGCAGCAAATGTTTTTTGGGAGAAAGAAGCCTGATTCATTGTCATCTGCTTGACCATGTAGCTTGTATTTCCTTTGTACCTATTCCTTTCTATGGCTTTACAACTTCAGCCATTTTGACCTTTTCCTGGCCAGATATCCTCTTGGGCCCAAACAATCATTGTACCATAGTCTTCTAGAACACAGATTTGCTTCCTGCTTTGTAATTGCTAACATTCACATTAGATATTTTGCTGTAGCTTAACCTTCCTTAGCCTACTTCCACCATGGTCGTGGGTTTTAGGTGGTATCCTAGTGCCTTTTAATTTAAGTATTTAATTTTCTTCTTTCTTCCTGGAATCTGTTTGGCCTCTCCAATGACCTGACCTTTCTATTAAAAATTATGAGGCAGGACTGGCCCAAGAAGATCATAAAGCAGTATATTACAATTGGGAGGATACAAAAGTTCCATCAGTGGAACAAAATAGAGAAGTCCAAAAAGAGTGAGCTCTTCAATATCCAGTATTATCCTATATCTGGAAAACCTTCTAGCTGCCTGGAAGAAAATTTAGATTCATAACTCAAAGTTACAGATCAAAGATTTTAAATGTGTACAATGAAAACATAAAAGTAATAGAAGAAACTGGCAGGATTTTTTTAATAATCTTCGAAGAGAGGAAGATGGTTTTATATAATACCTTCCATAAAAAGAAATATTAACTTATTTGACCACATTTGAAAAAAATCTGCATGCAAAATCATTATAAACAATATGAAAGAAAAGCCGCAAAATGGAGAGGGAGGGTAAAAAGTGTGTGTGTGTATGAGAAGCTGTGTATATGAAACTTAATGTCAAATCAGCAAGAAAAAGATAAATAACCTATTAGGAAAGTGGCAAAGGAAATGAAAAACTTACAGAAAAGGATATAAGAGCAATTCTTAAATATTATGAAAATATATTCATGCAAAGGCCTGGGTTCGATCCTCAGCACCACATAAAAATAAATAAAATAATAAAGATATTGTGTCCAACTACAACTAAAAAATAATTTTAAAAAGAAAGAAAGAAAAAGAAAATATATTCAGCTTCACTTAAGAGAAAAATGCAAACTATTATAATTTGGCATGTCCAAAAAATTCATTTCTCAGGTTCTTTTTTCATCTTGCATCTTCAGATGTCATTTATATCTGAATATATGTTGGATAGGAAATTTTTAAATGGAGCTTATATTCCACTTTTACCCCACTTTGTGATGCTAGAGATTGAACCCAGGGTCTCACACATGCTAGGCAAGTGTTCTACTACTGAACTACACCCCCAGCCCCTGTTTCATCACTTTAAATAAAAAACTTAATGCCTTTTCAGCCCATGTAAAAACCCCACATTTCTCCCACATATAACTAGAATACTCTTAAACATCTATAATAAAAAATTTACCTTATATTTCTGCATAATATAAACATTTAAAATACCAACTACTTTATTAGTTAACATTTTAATGAACTCTGTGGTAATTTTTTATGTTGTATGCAATAGATTTGAGTTTTTCTTAACTGTTGAAAGTATATACAGTAGTTGAAATAAACAACAAATTAAAGATACATAGTGATTCCTTCAATACATAATAATGCAAATAATATTTGGCAAAATCAAACAATGTTTTATTAGTTACTTAAAATTGAAAAGTTGCATCATTTAGGTTTAATGATTGGACAGGGAAGTTGTGGCTGTAGCACTGTTTGCTTCACTGAGTAAAGATTGGGAACAGGTCAGTAAAAGAGTGGCATAGAAATGAGAGCAATGTAATGAAATCTCTGTTTAATAACATGAGCATGAGTCTGAATCCTGTTGACATATGATCATAGCTCACTCTTCTTTTTAATCAGGACTCACACAAAACATCTAGTTTTGCTTTTTGTATATGTATTCATTATAGGAAGTTCTAAAAATGTTTGTAGATTGTTAGATACTCAGGGATATATCAGGGATACTGGTACATTTCTTTTCTTGACCATCATTGTCATCTGCTTGACCATGTAGCTTGTATTTCCTTTGTACCTATTCCTATACACAGAATACTAAATACATCCAAATTTGTTTCAGTTCAATTCTCACATTCCTGTGTTCCTCCTCCTCCTCCTTATCTCATAACTATTTCTTCCTTTTTATTCCCAGTATCAGTCTAATTCAGATTCTCTTTTTCATGCCTAGCCTGGTGAAATTTCCTATTCTCTACCATCTTTCTACCTCCAAGATATTAGTTTCACTGTTAGAAACAATTTTCTCTCCCTTTCACATCCCATATTTAAGATTTTGCAATTTTACTCTGACCTATTTTCTGTTTTGCTCTCAGACTTTTGTTCTAAGCTAATTGGTCTACTCCTTTTCCCTCCACATCACCCTTACGTGGTTTTTGCTATATGCCATACGTTATTCTAAGGTCTGAACATAATATCTCACTTAATAGTAACTGCAAATATTTATAGTATTTCATTCCCATTTTGCAAGTAAGTGGGGCACAGAAAGGTTAATATTAAGGTGTTAAGGTTAACTTGCCCCAGGTTTATACAGCTAGGAAGGGGCGCAAGGGACTTCTAAGTAGGGTTTTGCTCTGTTTCCTTTTGTTTTGTAAAGGGAATTGAACCCAGGAGCACTTTGTCACTGAACTATATTTCCCAATCATTTTTATTTTTTTTATTTGAGATATGGTCCTGCTAAGTTACTGAGGGTCTAGCTAAGTTGCTGACACTAATATCGTACGAATTTGCAATCCTCCTGCCTCAGCCTCCGGAGTCACTGGGATTATATATAAGTGCCACCACATTGGCCTAAACTGCTATTTTTAAGAATAAGAAAATTGGGCCTGGAGTTGTGGCTCAATGGTAGAGTGCTCGCCTAGCATGCACGAGGCACTGGGTTTGATCCTCAGCACCACATAAAAAATGTAAAATACAGATGTTGTGTCCACTTAAAACTTTAAAAAAAAAGAATAAGAAAATTATTGCCAAATGCAGTGGTATACTTCTGTAATCCCATCACTGGCTGAGGCAGGAGGATTGCAAATTCAAGGCCAGCCTCAGCATCTTAGCAAGACTAAGCAATTTAGTGAGACCCTGCCTCAAAATAAAAAATAAAAAGGGCTACAGATGTGGTTCAGTGGTTAAGTGCCCTGGGTTTAATCCCAGTACCAAAAAAAAGAGAGAGAGAGAAAGAAAGTTTTTTTCCCTGTGTGATGGTACATGTCTATAGTCACGTTACTGGGGAGGCTGAAGCAGGAGAATTGCAAAATTTGAGGCCAGCCTCAGCAACTTAAGGAAACCCTGTCTCAAAATAAAAAGGGACGGAGATATAGCTCAATGGTAGAGTGCCCCTGGATTAAATCCCTAATACCACAAAAAATGAATAAATAAAAGTGAAAAGGACTAAGGATGTAGCTCAGTGGTAATGCATCCCTGGTTCAATACCCAGTACCAGAAAACATTTCTGACACTAGTTGTATGGGTTTTCCACACATTGTAATTCTCCAGTTTTCTATAGATCCCAACCAGGTGTCCGTGGTTTAATTTGATTCTGGAGCAGAGTTAGTGTGGACTCCAGTGAAAGGCTCAGGCCCACAAGACTGTCCCCACTTATGCCAGTCACAAATCTGGATCTCCCGTACTTCTGACCAGTGAGCTATAAATTGGGAAGTCCTATAGTCCCCACTTTAGGTTCAATAAAATTATTGAATAGCTCACAGAACTTGGGAAAACAGTTTATTTACTATTATCAATTTATTATAAATGATACAACTCAGGAACAGCCAAATGGAAGAGATGCCTAGGACAAGGCTTGAGGAGAGTGTGCCTAGAACATCCCATGCCGTCCAAGTCTACCACCCCTCCCATCATCTGTCAGTGTTAACTAATCCAGAAGATTTCCAAACTTTAGGGGTTTTATGGAGTTTCTATTACATAAAGATGATTGACTAAAGCAGTGGCCACTTGATAATTAATTTGATCTCTGGCCCCTCTGGGTGTGCTCAAAGTTTTAACCCTCTCATCACAGGTTGGCAGTAGACCCCATCCTATAGTAGTCACCTCATTAGCATGAACTCAGTTATGGTTGAAGGAGATTTAACAAGAGGTTCTTTTTACCCCTGTCAGAAATTCTGAGGGTTTTAGGAGTTCTGTGCCTGGGTTCAAAGACCAGATGTATTTCTTATACTGCAAGAGGATATATATTCTTATTTGTGTGTGCGTGCGTGCGTGCGTGTGCGCATGCGCGCACAGTTCTGGGGATTGAACCCAGAGCCTCAGGCTTGCTAGGGAAGTGCCATACCATGGAACTACGCATCTAGCCCTTTTCCTTTTGAGACAAGGTCTCCCTAAATTATTCATTCTGGCCTTAAGTTTGCAGTTCTCTTGCCTCAGCTGCCTGAGTATTAACTGGCATGCCCACTCCTGCCTAACTCATTCTTGTTAATAAAAAATGCTTCTGGAAGGAAGGGACTAACACTAATTGTAATTGAGCAAATGGGTGGTGAAAGGGAGCTAGGTTGGGAGAACATTTTTCACAGAGTACTGTGCCTTGATATGTTTTGATTTTTTTTAACCATATGAATACATATTTTTTCAAAAAATTAAAAATATCTTTCAAAAACCAAGTTCATACATCTCCTCTTCCATGAACCTTTACTGACAACTTCAACCCAAATTGGAAAGCTTAAGAATTATTTCTTCATATCACTGTGGCAGTTTCTTCACACATTTAAAATTTTGTCATCAAAGCCACCTCCTTACATAGCTTTCTGACACCAAGAGCATTGAGGATAGTACCTAGTAAAAAGTAACTGGTTCAAAGGAAAACTAATGCAGAGATGGGACTCAGATTAGTGTTTGCTACCAGTGGGGAATAGCAGATTGACTTGTATCTGGCATGAAGGGACCTTGGGGAATCATAGAAATGTTCTATTTCTTGATTTGAATGATGATTATATTAGTATACACACTCATCAAAACTTTAAATGGGTACATTCCTTTTACTGTATGTGAATTATTTCTCACTAGAGTGTAATTTTAAGAAAAAAGAAAAGAAAAGTTAAACTGGGCATCTTGAACAACTTTTTTTTTTAAGTAGTGTTCAGTATTTCTTAAAATGAGTAATCATTTTTCTGCCTAATTTCACATTACTTTATTCACTTCTCAACAGTTCTGAAACACAGACAACATTGGGGGAGAAAGGAAGTGAAGATTCATCTTATAAGCCAATTTTTTCAACTCTTCCTGAAACCAACATTTTAAATGTGGTTAAGGTAGGAAAAAAGAGTTTCTGTGTGTATGTGTCCTTAGCAGACAGAGCTAAATGGTTAATAGTAACCAAAAGAAAAGAGAAAGGAAAAAAATAGTTTCTTACCTAATAAAATTTCTTAGCAATAATTAATCTTTAATTGAAGGTGGGTTTTTGCTGTTTTTATTTTTGTTTAAATATTAAGAGCAGAAGGGAACTTTAGGTCAGTGTTACATCATTAAAGTAGTTTTGAGACCAATTCCTTTTTGGAATTGGGGTATGTAAAGACAAAAGTATCTCAGTATAATTTAGTGATCAAGAATAATAACTGTTAGTTGGGCATGGTGGCACATACCTATAATCCCAGTGGCTTGGGAGACTAAGGCAAGAGGATTGCAAGTTCAAAGCCAGGTGCTGAGCAACTTAGTGAGACCCTGTCTCTAAATAAAATACAAAACGGACTGGGGAGGTGGTGGCTCAGTGGTCAAGTGCCCCTGAGTTCAATCCCCAGCACCAAAAAAAAAATAATAATAATAATAATAATAATAACTGTAAAACATTTTCATGGCTGAATCAAATGTCAAATCAATGATACTGAACCATTAACGGAATCTTCTTCTTTTTTTTTTTTTTAGAGAGAGAGAATTTTTTAATATTTATTTTTTAGTTTTCGGCAGACATAGCATCTTTGTTTGTATGTGGTGCTGAGGTTCGAACCTGGGCTGCACGTATGCCAGCCGAGCGCACTACTGCTTGAGCCACATCCCCAGCCCCCATTAACAGAATCTTGAAAGAAAAAATATTTACCATTTAATTCAGCTTATTAGCAAGAAGAGCATTTCTGGGCCCCCTTTTCTGGATATCTGATACTTGTTTTATGTAGATTTCTCTTTTGCTAAAAAGATTTTACAATTAAAATTCAACAAGTAAAATAAACCTTCTTAAGTTGCTTTGTCTGCATTTGTGTCAAAAAGTTTCTAGGCTTGTGTACATCCATACATCCAGAAGGTTACCAAGATCGTGAAATAATGTTGCTGATTTTGATGTTGTTTAAAATGAGTTTGGAAAAACAGCTGAAACAGATTCCTCTAGTTGACTTTCAGAGCCTCCTGATAAACCTGATGAAGAATATCAGAGATTGGAACACAAAGGTAACATTACTTAAAACTTGAGTATTGGTCTTTTGAATAGCATCACAATTTGACTTTCATAGTGCATACAGAATTAAAATTGTTCCTAAGCTCAGTTAAAATCTTTAACAAGTGGAAAAGAGGCTGTGGAAGGGGCTATGTTTCCTGGAACCTGTATTATATAAATTTAAAATATTTATTTTGTAAAACTGCAGCTATTCATTCAACAGAGATGTATTTATTGAGGATTTACTATGGACAGGTATTCATATGATAGGTGCTAGAAACCCAGCTGTGGAAAAGACAATGCCCTTGCCTTCATGAAGTTTTCATCCTACTCAGAGTTAAATGATAAGTAAAGATAGATTGAAATAACATATCAGGTTGTAATTAAGTGTTGCAAATTAAAATAAAGCAGGACGAGGGTAGAGAGAGTAGAAAGACATGGATGCCAGGTTATTTCATATGAGGCACTCAGGGGAAGACCTTTCTGAAGTGACCTTTGAACAAAGAGACCTAAGTAAAATTAGGGAATAATTCATACTTAAGGCTAGAATTGAAGTTGAACTTGAGTAGCCATGTGGAGTAGCCATGTACAATTTTTATATAGAACTTTTAAATTTTTCCACCACTTTTTATGAAAAATTAAAAACACAATAGTAGGGAGTAGTGTAATAAACTCTTAAGTAGCTACTAGCCAGCTTCAAAAATTATCAAACACAATCAATCTTGTTTACTGTTACTCCCACCCCACAATTCCCCTACTTATAAGATTATTATGAACCAACTATTAGGTTTTTTTCTTCCCCTTTGGTACCTGGGATTGAACCCAGGGGTGCTTCACCACGGAGCCATATCCCCAGCTCTTTTCTTTTTCTTTCTTTCTTTCTTTCTTTTTTTTTTTTTTTTTTTTTTTTGAGGCAGTGTCCTGCTAAGTTGCTTAGGGCCTTGCTAAGTTACTGAGGCTGGCTTTGAACTTGCAGTCCTCCTGCCTCAGCCTCCCAAGCTGTGTATGACACTGTACCTGGCAACTGTTAGGCTTTCAAAAATACTTGAAGCTGGGCATGGTGGTGCACGCCTATAATCCTAGTGACTTGGGAGGTTGAGATTAGAGGATTGCAAGTTCAAGGCCAGCCACAGCAACTCAGCGAGGCCCTAAACAACTTAGCAAGAACCTGTCTCAAGAAATAAAAAGGGCTGGGGATGTAACTCAGTGGTAATGCCCCTGTGTTCAATTGCCCCCACCTCACCCTACCACCACCAAACAAATAGATAAAATGAAATGCTGGAGTAGGATCCCTAAAGTGCAAGAAATTCCAGGTCAAAAGCATATATGATTTTGTGCAGTTCTCATTATACACATTTGGAAACTGGCATTTGTGTTTAGATTGCTTTATTCTTCCAATAAGGACTGTTTATTTTAAATAAAGATATGTTATGACAAAATATGAAAGCCAAGTGAATTTCTGATGAATACATTTGGTTTATGATAGTACAGAATCTGTGTTGTATGCCTTTCAGCAGGTTCTAGATTCCATGCATTTTCAAAAATTGAGCATTCTATTTTGTTAGTGCTTCCATTAGAATAGGAAGGGATGTAGATTTGATTATCTGCTGTTCTGTTCGGAAAGAAATCTTGCATATTTCTTTTTTCTCAGGTACCTGAACTCTGTCTGGGCATAAATGAACTTTCCAGCCATCCTCATAATCTTTTGTGGTTGGTACAGCTAGTCCCTAACTGGACATCACGTGGAAGGTATTGAAAAGTGAGAATGAAACATTAAGAAATTTTATGTTTATAATGAAATACTTTTGGGTCCTTTATTTTCAATCACCATTCTTTGTTACATAAGAGCCAATTGTTAATCATATTCAGTTGAGGGTAAAAGCATTTATAACCTGATTTTGATTTTTTTTTTTTTTTTATACTGGGGATTGAACCCAGGAGTACTTGAGCTACATCTCCAGCCCTTTGTATTTTTTATTTTGAGATAGAGTCTTGATAAGTTGCGTAGGGTCTTGGTAAATTGCCAAGGCTGGCCTCAAATTTGTGATCTTCCTGCCTCAGCCTCCCATGTTGCTGGAATTACTGGTATACACCACCACAGCCAGCTGATTCTCATTTTTAATTCAAGTCATTCTGTAATCCTCCTCCTATGTACCCCTCTCCTACCACCATTACCACTGGGCTACATCTCCAGCCCCTTTTTTTTGCCTAGGCTGCCCTCACACTTGTGATCTTCCTGCCTTAGCCTTCTGAGTAGCTGGGATTATAGGAATGCAGCACTGGACCTTACTGTGATACTTTTGAGTTTTAGTTTAGCTGATAATATAGATGACGAATACTGTAAAAATGAATGAATTAGGGCTGGGGCTGTAGCTCTGTAGTAGAGCACTTGCCTTACATATGTGAGGCACTGGGTTCCATCTTCAGCACCACATAAAAATAAACAAAGATATTGTGTCCAACTGCAACTAAGAATTTTTTTTTACAAAGTGAATGAATTATATAGCCTTCTCTTGAGACATTGCTTATATTTACAGTTAGAACTAGAACAACTTTTGGCCCATTCATTTGTTTCTCAAGTCATATTGATTAAAATGTTATTATTGTTGTTGTTTTTGTGGTGCTGGGGATTGAACCAGGGGCTTTGTACATATGAGGCAAGTACTCCACCAACTGAGCTGTGTCGCCAGCCCAGCTTTCTAAATACTTAAAAATTCTAATTTCAGGCAACTCAGACAGTGCCTCAGTCTAGTGATAATTTCAAAGCTTTTGGATGAGAAACATGAAGATGTCCCAAATGCCAATAATCTGCAGGTATAAGTACTACTTTTTTCTTTTTTAATGTGGTAATGGTAGTGAAGTGTAGCGAAATTGACTCCTAAGTCAAAAACCCTTAGTCATGTTACTATTCATGTAATCTTTAGCATGGTACTTGCCTAACAAGATCCAGTTTCTTAACAGGAGACTAATAGAGCAAAGGAAGGGGATCAAGAGGGAAGGAGAAAGGAATGTAAGAGGTACTGGAGAATAAAATTGACCAAATTATGTTATGTCCATGTACAGATATAGCAGTAGGGAATCCCACTTTTATGTATGTTTATAATGCACTCGTTAAAATAAGAATAGAAGGGAGACCATTAGACTGGAAGAAGGAATTTGGGGGGTGGGGGGTGGGGGATGAGAGGAAGGAAAGGGGAGGCACCAGGGAATGAGATTGATCAAATTAATTTGCAAGTAGAATTATGTCGCAATAAATCCCACTGTTATGTGTAATTATAGTGCACCGATTTAAAAAAAAACATAAAAGAGAATCTATTATTGGCACACAGTGCTACTATTAAAAAAAAAAAGATAAATTAAAAATAAAGGGTTCTTGTTTGAATGCAGTTAGTATAAGATACTCTACCAGGTTCTAGAGATTGAAAAAAAAAATGAATTAAAGACTGCTTGTAAGACATAACCTAGTGGTTAAAACAAAATAAACCAATCATTGTGAGTTATTGTGGTAAGAACAGTAATAGAAGTATGCCCAAGATGTTAGAGATTAATGGGGACAGACAGATTTTGCTTCAGTGAATTGAGGTAGTAGATTTGATCCCAGGTATATGGACATCATTCCTGAACCAGCAGGATAATTAGCAAATAGCTCTTAATCCTTGTGATATTTACTGCTACTAAAAGAGGTCCAGGATATGATTTCTACAATTTACTTTCTTAATTTTGTTTGTTGCAACTTTTTCCTTTATCACCCATGTAAAAAAGAACATAAAAATAAGTCCTTGGGCTGGGGTTATGGCCCAGCGGCAGAGCCACTCACCTAACATGTTCGAGGCACTTGGGTTCGATCCTCAGCACCACATAAAAATAAATAAATAAAATAAAGATATAAAAAAAATTCTGAATTTAAAAATAATAATAATAGTAAATCCTGAGATTCACTAATTCATATTTGAATTACACAGTCTAGATTTTTTTTAACTCTTTATAATGATTCTTTTCAGAATTCAGTGATTTCTATCCACTAAGAAATTGAACTTCACTGTCTTTCAAATAATTTCACAAAGAAATTTGTTGTTTCTGTTATTTGGCCTTCTAAATATTTATCCTTATTTACAAGTACTAAATCTTTAACTTAAAATCTCATTTTAAGTATTTGAGGACTTTTAAGTAAAGAGGAAATGAATATCACTGGACTATTAAAAAAAAAAGCTAAAGAGGACAAATTAGAGAAGGCAAAATGAACAGTGGGGAACACTAGGGAAAAGTAGCCAAAACAACTGTATTGCTTAGCATTATTCATTCTCTCCTTTTTCTTTTGATAGATATCCGTCCTGCATCGATATCTTGTGCAAATGAAGCCTTCTGATTTGTTGAAGAAAATGGTCTTAAAGAAAAGGGCTGAACAACCAAATGGCACTATTGATGACAGTCTTCATTTAGAACTTGAAAAGCAGGTATCTAGAATCTCAAAGAGTACATAAGTGCATGAAGTGATTTTTTTTTTTTCTTTTAATTACTGTCGTGACATAAGTCAGTAAACTTGAGAGCTAAGAATTTAGGTAAAAGGATGGTTGTTGATAATGTAATACTGGAAGGAATTTTTGTAGCTCTGTACTAGGGTAGTTGTGAAGGACGCACTTGAGTTAGAAATCTTTAAAAGGCCTAATTTAAATGCATGTCTTTTTCTTTCTTACTAGCTGGATTAAATTCTTTATCCTTCCAAACCACTTTCTTAATGGGTAAATTGTGAGTGACATCAGTGCTAGCTAATTCCTAGGTATTAATTTGATTTATTTTTCTAACAGGCATATTACCTGACCTACATTCTTCTTCATTTAGTTGGTGAAGTTAGTTGTTCTCATTCTTTTTCTTCTGGACAACGGGTAGGTAATGTTTAATGGTTGTGTTTTAAAAGGTGTGACTATTGCTAGAATGAATGAGCATGTTTTAGTTAGGAGAATACTTAATAAAGGTTAACTGAAAAGAGGGGAGTGATAGTAACCTGCAAACATATCATATCAACAAGAATTATTTGTCAACAAATGTTAGTTCAGTTGGTTGGAGTACGGTTTACCCATCATAACTTGGCAACAGTATAATATATTCATAACCAAGGTCACCAGATATCATTTGGGCAGCTTTTAGCTGATTTCTTCTCATCTCTTTTCACATTTCTTTTTTCTTTCTATTCTTTTTAAAGAAATAACATTTGGCTGGGCATGGTGGTGCATGCCTATAATACCAGCAGATCAGGAGGCTGAAGCAGGAGGATTGTTGAGTTCAAAGCCACCTTCAGCAACTCAGTGAGACCTGTCTCTAAGTACAACAAAAAAGGGCTGGGGATGTGGCTCAGTGGTTAAGCACCCCTAGGTTTAGTTGCCAGTACCTAAAAAATAAAAAAAGAAATAATATTTGCCTTCAACACTAAACTGATGTTAAGCCATGCCACTTTAGGAGTGGGTTTAATTTCCAAATTATGTCCACATATTACAGTTTTGATACTGGGGATTGAACCTGGGGTGCTTTACCACTGAGCTACATTCCCAGTCCTCCTTTTATTTTAATTTGATTAGGCTGGCCTCAAATTCATGATCCTCCTACCTCAGTCTCCCAAGTAACTGGGATTACAAGTGTGCACCATCAGTCATGGATTGTGTATATTTTTACATTTAACAAGCAATAGACCACAACCATCCTGTTATCATGGAAGTAACACTGATAGGACTGATATTATGTTGGATGATTAACATCAGAAATTGCTAACTGGAGAATGATAGATTTTTTAAAAATAACTTAATTGTTCTAATTACCTAATTCTTTATTAATTTGTAATGCTTAAGAATTGTTTTTATCCCTTGCATTTGTTTTGTCTTGTACAGAAGCACTTCGTGCTACTCTGTGGGGCTTTGGAAAAGCATGTTAAATGTGATATTAGGGAAGATGCAAGACTTTTTTACAGAACTAAGGTAAGTGTGTTTTTTTTTAAATTAGTTTTTGTGTTAAGTCTTGGTTACATTAATATTTAAAAGCAGAAGCCAAGCATGGTGACACACACCTGTAATTCCCAGGAATTTGGGAGCCTGAAGCAGAAGGATTGCAAGTTCGAGGCCAGCCTCAGCAATTTAGTAAGGCCCTATCTCAAAATAAAAAAATGAAAAGGACTGGGGATGTAGTTCAGTGGTAAAGTTCCCCTGGGTTCAATCCAAACAAAGATTTTTGCAAATTTAAGGCCCTAGATTCCCAACACTACAAAATAAATAAATAAAAGATTCTTTTTTAAAAAAATATTTTTTTAGATTTTTTTTTTTTAGTTGTAGATGGACACAATACCTTTATTTTTGTGTGGTGCTAAGGATCAAACCCAGTGTCTCACACATTCGAGGCAAGCACTCTACCACTGAGCTACAACCCCAGCCCAAGACTTTCTTAATAACAAATTATCTTGTGCTAAGTACTTTTCTAGCTAGATTGACAGAGAAAAAAATCTCAAAAGCAAATACATTTTGTTTTTTATTCTGAAACTCCAAATACCAAAAGAGAAAAAATTCTTTCTAGTGGAATTTCTTAGTTTTTTTCCCATAGTACATATTAAAGCCCTTATGCTTAAGATAGTGTCAAAGTATCAAGGATTGAACCATTGTTTAAATAAAGATGTAACTAAAAAATAGTGGCTATAAAATTTTATAATGCCCCATTTGATTTAAATATGTCAAGATAATTGTACTATCATGTGTAACTAATTAAAATAAATTTTAAAAAAAAGAAAATCTAAAAAAAAATTTTATAATGGTTGAAAACTTGTTTAAAGAAGAAATGAGGTTAGCTGAGTTTTTTGTTTGTTTGTTTGTTTTTGGTATTAGGGATTGAACCCAGGGGCACTTAACCACTGAGCCACATCCCCAGCCCATTTTATTTTTTGAGACAAGGTCTCACTAAGTTGCTTAGGGCCTTGCTAAATTGCTGAGACTGGCTTTGAACTTGCATTCCTCCTGCCTCAGCCTCCCAAGTCACGGGATTACAGGCATTACACCCAACCAGGCAACTATTATTCTTAGAATATTTCATTTGACCCTTCAAATCTCTGGGTCACCCATTCTGAGCTGTAGAATGGAAATGATTCAACGATAAGCCTGCTAGTTGTTTTGTTTTGTTTTGTTTTTTTCTTCAAAGGTTTTTGTATACTTAAAGATAGTAGAAAAACCAAATTTATGAACCATAGGGTAGGAAAGCAACCTTAGTATTAATTATGTGAGTTTTTCCTGAAACATAAAATTAAATAATGCTTTTTTAAAACTTAAAAGGATTTTTTAATTTCCAAATCATCTTTTAGTTTTTGTAATGTAAAGTGGATTCTTTTGTTCCTCTGGTATTTGGCTTGTCATTGTCTCTCAGCATTGTAACTTTTCTCTCTCACATTAATTAGCTGTAAAGGCTAGTCATTTGGTTAATACGCATTTGGATATAGTATATATTTACTTTAGTGCATTGAAGTTAAGTACAGAAATATAATTGTAGAAATTAGAACACATTACTAGTTCTATAAAGATATAATACACAATAACTCTTTGCCTTAGAAGGGAAGCCCTACCTCTCAAAGCACATTCTGAACTTGGTGGTTGTGACCACTACTGACAGACATGCTTACTATGGACCACCTCCTGCCTCAGCCTCCCAAATCACTGAGATTACAGACATTCTTTATGTTTCTTAAAACCAAGGGCCTAGCATAGATTAGTACCAAGGCTTCTCTTATTTACAATGGAATTGACAACAGTGGTCTGTGGAAATTGTTTCAGAAGGTGGTCCTACTGAAATTGGTGAGTTGCAAGCCTCTCCAAAAGCCTCTACTAGAAAACTTATTTTGGAGACACTTAATTTGCTGAACTATAGATGGGGAACAAAGCAGAAGTTGTAATTTACTTCGGGCAGTGTAAAATTCCTTGTTTAAAACATTTTTCTCAAGCAGTTATGGCAAGAGCTAATCAAGAATCTCTAGTGGGGCAGAATTTTGCTTTTGTGGTAAACTTTGAGTTTTGTACAGATACTTGCTAAACCTCTAAACATAGGAATATACCAGGTATTTGAAGGGGATTCGTAGCACTTTGTAAAAACATGGAGAAGAATAGTGGTGAATTTTGGGTCTTCTGATAATGTGGAAAGGAACAAATGACAAATGGTTTTTGTGATCTTGAGTCTTTCAAATAGAAGGTGGTAAGATAGGGAACAACTAAAGCCTTGAGCCCTATAACACAGTCCACCCTTAGCTTCTCTATTTAGTTGTTATAAAGCCAGCAGATCAAAAATGTAAGTTCCTTTGAAGGCAGGGTTTATGTTTTCTCTTAACAAAAATCAAACCAAGTGTGGGTCTGTCAAAGCTCTAAGATCTTTTGTATCAAGTTGTAAATGGATTATAGGTTAGGATGTTTTGATCTGATACATTTTCCTCTTTGATATTTTTAAGGTGAAAGACTTGGTTGCCAGGATACATGGAAAATGGCAGGAAATAATTCAGAACTGTCGGCCTACTCAGGTGTCATTTTATTAAACAATTTATTAATAGTTTTACTAAGTGGTACTTTTCATACTTTTGAAACAAAGTTCAACAGAAGACTTGCTTCTAATTGTCTATAAATTAAAAATGCCAGTATAATATAGATTGTTTGTGTATGAATGGTTTTTGTTTGCTTTATTATGTTCATTAATTTATTTTCAGAGGTGGCCAAACCCATTTCAGAATACATCAAATTGGAGGTTATTTCATAAGGAGTATTACTCCCTACCCCCATTTATTTCCCTTGTTATTAATTGAACCCAGGAGTGCTCTACCAGTGAACTATAACCCCATCCCTTTTTACTTTTTTTAATTTTTAATTTTGAGATAAGACTCTCACTAAATTGCCCAGGCTGGCCTTGAACTTGCAATAATCCTGCCTTGGCCTCCTGTTAGCTGGGATTACAGGCATGCATCACCATGCCCAGCTAGGGAACATTTTTTTCTTACTAGTTCTATAAAGATATAATACATAAAATAAATATTTCACCCACTTAAAAGTATATAATGCTTTTTAATATATCCAGAGAGTTGTGAAGTGAATGCCATTACAATCATAGCCTAACTTCAGAACATTTTTGTCACCTGAAAAGAAATTCCATACCCATTCGGAGTCATTCACCATTTCCCCACTACTCTCATTCCCCTCCTCACTCCCTTAAGATCTAAACATGTCTGTATATATTTGCCTGTTCTGAACATTTCCTATACATGAAATACACTGTGGTCTTTGACTAGTTTTTTTCACCTAACATAATGATATGTGAATCCATGTTGTGGTATGCATGTTCTTTCTATTGATGGACAGTTTTCGACTATATGGATATATCACATGTCCATTTTATGAAATGGACATTTGAATTGTTTCTATTTTCTGTTATGGATAATGTTTCCATGAACATTTGTATATATGTTTTTGTGTGAATATGCTTACAAATGAAAACATCTTAAGCAAATAACTGAGAGTAGAATTGCTGATCATTTGGTAATTCTATGTTAAACTTTTTTTGTTTTTGTGAGCTTTTTGATTTTTCATATGTGGGTTTTGTTTTGTTTTGTCATGCAGCACTGAGAATTGAGCCCGTCTTTACCACTGAGCTATTTTTTACTTTGAGATAGGAACTCACTAAGTTGCTGAGGCTGGCCTTGAACTTGTAATCCTCCTGCCTCAGCCTCCTAAAATGCTGGGATTATAGGCACATGCTACCAAACTCAGTTTCTATGATCAGTGTTTTAAGTAACTGCCAGAGTGCTGCATGATTTTACATTCCCACCAGAGTGTTTGAAGATTCTAGTTTCTCGGTCTGGGGATGTGGCTCAAGCAGTAGCGCGCTCGCCTGGCATGCGTGCGGCCTGGGTTCGATCCTCAGCACCACATACAAACAAAGATGTTGTGTCTGCTGAGAACTAAAAAATAAATGTTAAAAAAAAAAAAAAAATTCTCTTTCTCTCTCTCTCTCTCTCCCACTCTCTCTTTAAAAAAAAAAAAAAAGATTCTAGTTTCTCCACATTCTTCCCAATTATTATCTGTCTTTTTTATTAAAACTATATATTCAAGGAGTGGGAAGTGAAATATTGTGGTTTTAATTGCATTTTCCTGACAACTAATGGTGTTGAGCATCTTTTAATATGCCTATTGGCCATGTACACAGCTTCCTTAGAGAAATGTCTATTCAGATTTGTTGCTCCTTTTTTTTTTTTCCTTTGGTACTTAGGAATAGAACCCTGGAGTACTTTACCACTAAACTTCATTCCCAATTCTTTTTATTTTTAATTTTGACACAGGGTCTTGCAAAGTTGCTAAGGCTGGCCTCAAACTTGCAATCTTCCTGCCTCAGTTTTTAAAATCACTGAGATTACACCCTGTGCCACTGTGCCAGGCTCACTTTCCTTTTTTTTTTTTTTTTTTTTTTTGCAGTTATAGCTGGACAGGGTGCCATTATTTTGTTTATTTTTTATGTGGTGCTGAGGATCCAACCCAGTGCCTCACACTTGCCAGGCAAGTGCTCTGCCACTGAGCTACAGCCTCAGCCACTCACTGCCTGTTTTTTAATGGTTTATGGTTTATTTATCTTTATTGTTGAATAGTAAGAATTCTCCATGTGTTCTGGATAGAAGTTCTTTATTAGATATATAATTTACAAGTATTTTGTTTCCTCTGTTGTCTTCATTGTCTAGGTAGTATCATTAATAACACAAACATTTTTACTTGTAGAATCCAGTTTATATCTTTTTTTTTTTTCTTTTTCCTTTTGTCATTCATGCTTTTGGCCTCATTTAAAGAGGGTTTTTGCCTAGTTTGGCATTTTTCTTCACATCTGCTCAACAGTTCGCCATCTTTTTTGTTTATAAACTAACTAATACAGGATTGTCTAAAATGATAATTCTAAGGGTTGGGGCTGGGGCTCAGCAGTAGAGCACTAGCCTAGCACGCACCGAGGCACTGGGTTTGCTCCTCAGCGCCACTTAAAAATAAATAAATAAAATGTTTAAAAAAATAACTTATGAGTCAACAAAGAAATCATAATAAAAATTTTTAAAAATAAATAAAATGATAACTTCTAAAGTTTTAATATAGGAATCAACTTGGAACTTGGTGAAATGTAGATTCTGATTCATTAGGTCTGAGGGACCTGAGATAGTCTATTCATTAGGGACCTGTGATAGTCTACAATTCCAGTAAGTTCTCAGATTGATACTAATGCTGCTGGTTCAGAGACTATACTCTGAGTAGCCAGGGCCTAAACACTGTTTATAGTTCACTTCATTTGCTAGCAGAAGTAAATCTGACTTTTTTTTTGTACTAAGGATTGAACCTCAGGGGTGCTCAACACTGAGCCAGATTCCCAGACCTTTGTATTTTTTGTTTTGTTTTGTTTTATTTGGGCTTTGGGGGGAGGGGGCAGTTACTGGGGATTAAACTCAGGGGTACTTGACCTCTGAGCCACATCCCCAGCCCTATTTTGTATTTTTTTTTAGAGACACAGTCTCACTGAGTTGCTTAGCGCCTCGCTTTTGCTAAGGCTGGCTTTGAACTTGCAATTCTCCTGCCTCAGCCTCCCAAGCTGCTGGGTTTACAGGAGTATACCACTACGCCTGGCAAATTTATACTGCTTTGTTTTTTCAGTTTCTAACCCTCAGTAGACTTTTTTCAGTCTGGCCATCTGTGCTGATGTGTTATTAAAATAGAAAATAATAACAAAACCTTATATTAATCAGTTTAACATAATAATCTCCTAAAATATGACCCTTCATGAGTACAATGGTGAGAAAAAATATCCTGTTTACATTATACTTCTTTTGATTGTTAGATCACAAAATGTGGCATTTGAACCTGATTATCTGAAATTTTTAGAAAAAATGTATAATATAAAGATTTTATTACTTTTATTATCAAAACCCATGATTTTTATCACAACCCATGATGATTAGTAGTTTTTTATAAGGGTTAATTCATAATTTGATTAAATTTTCCTTCTGCATTTTTTTTTTTCTTTCCTTTTCTAGGGGCAGCTTCATGACTTCTGGGTACCAGATTCTTAACAGAAGTTATAGCAGCAAAAATATGAACCAAGAGAAATTCGTTAAGAGCCTTTCCAAGAAGAGTAAAAAGAATCACTATGGATTCCAGTGCTATAGAATGCTAAGAAAATACACAGCAAATGTGCCACTTGAATATCTAGTATGAAGCTGGTAATGAAAAAATTGCCATTTCTGAAGCAGATATGAAATGTGATCTGCTTAGTTTTTAAGGCAACTGACCTTTTAAAAGAGCAGAGTCTTACAAAAGGAGGGAAAGGATAGAAGCACCTCATAATCTAAACCTGCCCTTATTAATTCCTCCTGTTAAATTACAAGCCAATATCTTTTTGTAGGGAGTATTTGTGGCACTTGGATAAATCATGGGAAATATGGAAGAAAAGAGTTTGGACCAACTTGAGGAGTTGGACATAGAAACCAGGACCAAATTCCAGTTGGGTTTAATTTTCCCTCTTTGTTATTTTAGTATGCAAAGGGATTGCTTAGAACAGAGTTTAGTAACAAAGGCATTGATCTTTTCTGTAAACTTCTATAAACTGCAATAGGTTTCAATCCCTGCATTTTCCTTCACTATTAAGATTATACATCTATTAGGTTTTTTAAAACACATTTAAATAATTAATCAGAAGTTTGATATGTCATCAGATCCCTATAAGAGGAAGAGGTTAAGCTGTAGTGACTCTGTTTTTAAAATGCCAAATGCAGCTTGTTTTGAATTGCTTTTAAATGCATATATATATATATATATATATATATATACACACACACACACTTTTTTTTTTTTTTTTTTTTTAATACTGGTTAAACCTTAGAAGTCTGGCCCTTGGTAGCCATGTTACTGAAGTCTCTATTATAAAAACTTAAATATCTGGAAAAGTTTCCAAAAACCTTGTTTCCATGAGTATATTACTTTGGCAGAGACCTGGATGGTGTTTATTCTTTGGGATACTGTGTGTGTGTGTGTATGTGTGTGTGTACATACACACACTCATGCATGTGTGTGCTCGTGTGCTTGTATTTTGAAATTGTTGCACTTGAAAATCACAGCTGCTCTAAATTCTTAAACACTGGACAGCCATCCTTTGGTTTTAAATGGTGGAGGGTTAGTAGAAGCATACAATGCTGGTTTTAGCCCAAGGGCCCTTTAAAGCCATTGGATAGTAACCGGTTCTTACTAGCCAACTCAAAAATTCTTTTGTTGACTGAATGTCTCTTTTAGTAGGGTTTGTTCCTGAAAGAGAATACTATTTTGTTGTTGTTGTTGTTCTTTCAACTTTGGCTTGGGTGACTTGCTCTCTCCTGAGCACTCTCATGTCTTTAGTTGTAGGGGAAAAGATGATGGAAGTGAAGGGAACTGGACTTGATGTTTATGGTTTGAGAGAGGAGAAATTAAGTTTTAATTAAGAACTAACTTTCTACCTCTAAACTGAGGCTTAGGAGTAAAGAAAAAAAATTATCTTAAATTTATCATTTCAATTTCATTTCAAATAGCATCAGTAACTTTTGAGCTCATGTCAAGCATTGGGCAGTTAGAGATTTTTATAGACAGGACTAAATAAATCCAGTTCCTAAGAACCCAGGCTGAATGAGGCTCCAAGAATCAGACCAACATGTTTTATTCTGTGTTGAGTTTACTGGTAAGAATATTATTATTCTTGATACTACCTCTCAAAGGTATTGTTACAAAATGCCACTTATTAACTGAACGTTAAAGAGATAGATACAAAGAGTTATATTTGAAAGAAGCTTGATGAAACTCTGGCATCTATCTGCCCAACAATGGGGGCTTTCACTCTGTAATTTAATATTTTGTAGATACATTATTTGTGTGTAATTTTATAAGTGTTCATATTTTTCTCATTTTGCATTGTGTAAAGTGTACAAAATCTCAAAGTATAAAATACTGCTTATATTGCTTGTAATTATAGTGTGTAAATATTTTCTAATTGTGTACATTGACGGGGTGGGGGACAAGTGGGTTATTCAGGTTTTTTTTTAAGTGACCCTTTTGTATTGCAGTTTCAACAGATAACTGCCCATCAAATTTAAAACCACTTTGATACATTTTTATTTAGCAGTTCCAATAAGAAAAATCTCTATTTTTAATTGTCTTTCTCCATTAAAAGAAAACTATTTCATCTGTCCCTTTAAAATAAATGGCCAGACATCAGTTTAGGCCCTTTTATTTATGACTCTGGTAGACATCTTCAGTCTCCAGGTTATAGTCCAGTCAGCATTTGCATTTGGGTTCTCAGAAATTTTGTGATTCTGTTTTAGCACAAGTAGCCCATGGTTTTTCTCCCAAATAAAGTATTTTCCTTCACCCTCTTGAGTCCCCATGCTTTGTCTCCCTCCTCTTGTTGCCCAGTGAATGGGATGTTAGAGAGGGAGAAAATGTTCATTGCACAGAGAATGTCAGGCTGCTTTTGGGACTTGGCAAACAAAGCTTGCACTGAGTGGTGGTGTGTTTGGCAATATTACTGTGCCAAAATTCACCTTGTTTAATTATCTGGATATATATATGTCAAACTTATTACCCTTATTGCAAGCTGAAAATTAAGATACTTGTGTTTATGCTTTTGTGTGTAACCATTTGCCTTTTCTAACCTGCTTTTCTTGTTAGCTGAAAATATAGTTCTGTTAGTTAAGTGAAGAGGCTCATGCAGAAAACACATCTACGTAGCAGTAAAGTAACAGCATTTGTACTTTTGCTGTCTGTCTCCTGATGGCAGTGGTGCCTTTGTCACCTTTGGAAGGTTGGCGCTTTGTTTTCGTTTTGAAATGCAAGTAGTAGCTTGCTTTTTACTTCACAAAATCTCCCCAGATGTAAAAGATAGGTAATGGCATGTTATCATCCAGACTTAGTTGGAGCATTTGCATTTTTATTTTTATTAAAACAGATTATAGTTGGTGAGGACTGGCCACTAATAATGTGTAGGGTCTTTAAGAATAATTTTTAAATTAAAGAAATAATAAAATTTTTGAGAAGTGACCCATTAACAAGTGACTTGAGTTGGAGAATTAGAAGTTGACTCTTCTGGTTTGTCTCTGAGGGGGCAAGAATAGGTACAGGTGGCTGGCCATGTAGAGCAGTTAAGCATGATCTTGGTGGTTATTTCTCACTCATCAGCAGTGTTGGTGCACCTCATTATCTGTGCATTTGTTTTCTTAAGAGTCGTGTCAGCCAGTGAGTCCACCAGTTCTTAGGTAGTAAATGCAGATTTCCCTTTTTTCGTTCATTTTTTTTTCTTTTTAAGATTTTATACTACATCTTGTTTAAAGTCCTATGAATGTATGTGTGTGTTATTAAAACTGCTTTTTCTCAGTTTGAACATGTGTTTGGTAATATTTGTTTGGGGTTGGTATCTGGAATTCCCTGTTGATTCCCTTACTCATCCCCTGGTTTTTAAACTTATTCCTTTCTCTTTGGTTTCTCCAGTTTTCTAGCTCATTAGCTCCTGTTTCTGGAAAACACAAAAGCTTTTATATAACCAGTTAATAACTTTCTGTATATTTTACAGTAAAGAATTCAGTAATCTCATTTTTAACCTCATTTGCTGTGTTCATTTAACAACTATTGAGAACCTACTATATGTTAGACACTTTTTAGGAGCCAGTAAGAATTTAGTAACAAACAACACAGATAGCTCTTAGGAATCTTACCTGCTGGTATCTAGGTTAAAATACTTTAAGCTATTGGGCAAAGAGGGCTAGAAAAAATTCCCTTGACCTAGATGCCATTTTGTATAGCGCAGGACCAAAAAGGGGGACACCCTACAGTGCAGAGGCAGGGCTCAGGATCACGTTTGACCAACCAGGTAGATAAGGCTCTGGGTATGCCAACTGTGGGGAGACACAGGTTAATACCCCTTATAGGAGAAGCTATTCTAACAAACTCAGAAGGCCTAGGCATTGTTCTCAGGAGACCTCAAGTTCCAGAACAATGCCAGTATTTTCATTATCCTTTCTGATAGATGAATTGGAGGATGCTGCATTTTTCTTTTGACAGTGGGGTAGAGGGATAGGGGTTGACAACCAGGCAGAAGCAGAAACACTCCTATGAGTACTTAATGGCAGACAGCACAGCCTTATTTGATATAAGAGAAGGGCCTTGACCTTGCCCCTAGGCTTAGCCCTAGATCCCAATCTCACCACACTAGCCATTTGATATTGGGCAAGTTCTATTTATTCATCTAGTAGGAGGAATAACATTGGTGTCTACTTCAGAGTTTATAAGGATTAAGTGAGTTAACGCATGAAAAGTGCTCAGTACAGTGCCTGGCATATGGGAAGAACTCAATCATTCCTATCTCTTCTTACTGTTTTGCTTAAGAGACTCTTCTCAGATGACAATTAAAATTGCTCCTAAGCAGATATACTGGAGTGTGCTGATGATTGAATTTTATCCCCAGAAAGTATAGTTGTATGCTCTGTTCCTTTAACTTCAGGGAGCTCCAGATGGTTCTCTGTCTAGCCCTGTCTGCTGGTAAAAATTTAATAATAAAGCCATGTGTCATGGTGTATACTTGTAATCCTAGCCACTTGGGAGGCTGAGGCAGGAGGATCACAAGTTTGAGGCTTGCCTGGGCAAGTTAGCAAGACATTTTGTCAAGGAAAAAAAAGTTGTTTTTTAAGGGCTAAGAATGTAGTATAAAGCACACCCAGAGCCAGGTATGGTGGCACACACCTGTAATCCCAGCAACTTGGGAGGCTGAGGCAGGAGGATCACAAATTCAAAGCCAGCTTTAGCAATTTAGCAAGGCTCTAAGCAATTTACAGGACCTTGAATCAAAAAATAAAAAGCTGGGGGTGTTGCTTAATGGTTAGAGCATCCCTGGGTTCAATCTCAAGTACTGGTAAGTAAATTAATAAGTAATTTTTTAAAAAAGCACCCCCAGGTTCAATCACCAGTACCAAAAAATAAAGTTTCTGACTTTCCTTATGCCAAGTAGCTGAGAAAGAGGTGGTGGGTGGTGGTTTTCCAGCATTCATGGACATGTCCTGATACTCCCTTTTCCTTGCTAACCATTCCCTAGGCTGGAGTCAAGAGAGGGCAAACCAGAATGCCCAGCTTTGGGTCTGACTCCAAGAAGACTGGCTTGGAGGAAAACTTAGCAGGCAAAACAGGCTTCTGAGGCACAGAACAGTGAGACTACAGCATTGTTGAACTGGTGACAGTCCCTGCTGAAGAAACACCTCAGCTGTATATATGGCCAAAATAAAGATCACACCTCCTAAAGGAAAAATGCTGGGCAGACCAGAGATGGAGATGGCAAAGCAGGAACAGAAATGCTGCCACAGTGAACAGGAAGCAGGACAACCTGACTAGGCCAGAGTTCTCTGCCTCAGGGAGCCTCAAGTTTCAGGAGTTCATACCCACCCCCTTCACCTAGGATCCCCGCTGCAGTGAGTAACTGAGCCTGGACCCAAACCAATCCTGGTGTGCAGGTGGCTGAGAATCTGGTGAAGACAAGGAGCACTCTTATCAGCCACTTTCTTTCAGCAGAGTAGTGAAAAGTAGCCTAGCAAAAACAAAATTCATATTTGTATTGTGTATGTGTAAAGTACTTCAGGGTTTCCAAATGGGATCTTCTCACAGCCACCCTATCAAGTAGCAAGAGTGGTGATTTCAAGGATGAGTAATAGAATAATGTGCCTTGTGTCCCAGGGCACAGAGTTAAGGCTGGGTTAGGATTCATTTCTTGAAAGTTTGATTTCAAGTTTTTTATACTGTCAATATTTCCCTCAGTCATATTTTATCACCTTGATTTGCATGGAAGAATCAAGTCAAAAGATACTTCCTATAGAAAGCACCATTAACTGCCTTCAGATCTGATACTTTGATTAGGTTCACAGTTTTAAGTTGGAAAAAAAGAAATGGATTATAGTCTGAATCCACATTTTCAAATGTATTGAAGTAGCCATATATGGTGACACACACCTGCAATCCCAGCAATTTGGGAGGCTGTCTAAAAAGTTAAAAAAGGACTGGGAATGTAGCTCAGTGGTAAAGTGCCCCTGGGATCAATCCCTAGTACCAACAACAAAAAGAACTAAAATTAACTGCCCAATGACAGTTTACCAAGTGCCATACTGAAAGTAAGACACTAAAATCACATTTTGCTCATTTTAGAAATGTGGGAGGTTAGCCAGATATGGTGGCATGTGCCTATAATCCCAGCAACTACACAGGCTGAGGCAGGATTATAAATTTGAGGCCAGTCTTCACAACATAGTGAGACTATCTCCAAATTTTTTAAATAAATAGGGCCGGGGTATAGCTCAGTGGTAAAGCACTCTAGGTTCAAACATCAGGAACCACACACGACTACCACCCCCACCTCCCCCCCACACACACACCCACCAAAAAGTATCTTAGCCAGGTACAGTGGTGCCTGCCTGTAATTTCAGCTAGTTGGGAGCCTGGAGCAAAAGGATCTCAAGTTCGAGACCAATCTGAGCTACTTAGCAAGAAGACCTGTATCAAAATTAAAAGATCTAAGGGGCTGGGGATATATATATATATATATATAGCTCAGCTGGTAGAGTGCTTGCCTTGTATGCACAAGGCCCTGGGTTCTAATCCCCGGCACCACTAAATAAATAAATAAAAAGATCTGGGGGTATAGTTAAATGGTAAAACACCTCTCTCTGGGTTTAATCCCCAGTAGCATGCAAAAAGCAAAAACAAGAAAAAATGTAAAGTTTTGAGTCTGCATTAGGAACACCTGAGAAGAGAGAACAGCTTGCTTCAGTGAAGCTGAGACTCAGAACCTACCATTTGGCCTATTTGCCACTCCTGAGGTATATGAAGTTAGCACTGAATCTGAGAACTTGGGAGTCATGCTACCAATCCCCTTAGCCCCTGAGTTTACTTTCTCTCCTGCCAAGTACTTTGTTGCGGGCAGTCTTCCTGTCCCACCCCATTGTTCCCTCCAAACCAGTTCCCCATAAGGACTATAGATTTATCTTTCTTAACCGTGTCTTACCGACTTCCTCACTTGCTACATCAGCTCTTTCAGGATGTTCTGTGGTCTTTTCCAAGCTGGGATCTGACTTTTCCCTTCTATTTCCCTCTAGATACCTTCCTGTTTCATCAAATCAAACTCACTGGCCTCTTGCATGCCCCTTCCCTTCTCCCTACTCTCCCCAAACAGTCTGCACCAATTTGTACATTTTTGCCTTTGCCTAGTGATAATTATTCCCAGGCTTCCTATGCATACCCTTTCTCGGACTTTTCCAGTCTTCATTGAGAACTTTCTATAAGCCGAATGAATTCCAATGCCAGTTCCTTAACTTCTTAGAGCCTGTTTCCCATCTATAAAATGGGACTACTAATTCCTCAGGATGAGATGAGGGTACAATGAAAGAAATGAGCCAAGAGCAGTGGTGCACGCCTGTAATCCCAGCTACTACAGAGGCTGAAGTAAGAGATTTGCAAATTCAAGTCCAGCCTGGCCATTTAGTGAGACCTCCTTAAATATAAAAAGGTCTGGGGTTGCAGCTCAGTGGTAGAATGCCCCTGGGTTCAATCTTCAGTACTACCAAAAAAAAAAAAAAAAAAATTTAGCTGGGCACCCTATAAAGTGTGTGTGCATTTTTTAATATGAGTGTTTCTCCAAGCCACCCCCCACCACACACACACACCCTGTTTTCATAGTGCTGGTAGACAAGTTTAAGGGGTGGGGGTGGAAGTGTGATATGAGTCCTGCTGTCTAGCAGTCTGCAGTCACACTGCACTCCAAGCAATGAGATTTTATAGGATTAAGTACCAAACTCTGAGCTTTAAGGATTCCAGAAAGAAGGATGAAGTGTCTTTCTCAGGGTCCCTTCAGTTAAATATGCAGCCTCGATCCTGTTCAAACTCCTGGACACATGCAAGAGTCCATTCCTGTGGCCCTTTACTTGATCCTTCTCTTGGGCCTAGATCAATGTTGTCATGGATTTTAGTGGGGGAGGGGATTGGTCTGGGTCATGTCCAGAGCTCAGGTTTTATTGAGGCAATAGAAAGGAGGCAGGGCCTATGTTTGCAGAAAAACATCCTAGTTAAAGGAGTTGAGGAATTGATTCCAAGGGGGTTTTCTGAATTGCTGCTGGAAAGGGATTAAACCTGGCAAGGAAAGGATATTTGCTTGGGAACATGCACTGGAAACTTTGGAGTAAGAATAATGTTCAAGAGAAGCTAGAGGGGAAGGCAGGTGTCTGAGTGACCCAGTCTCTGAGGGGAAACTGAGTTAGGGCTAAGATTTGGTGAGTCAGTGCAAAAGATTGTGACTTCACATGCCTGTAATCCCAGCGACTCAGGAGGTTGAGGCAGTAAGATCCCAAGTTC